GCAAAAGGAAATGCATCCTCGGGGAGTCGAACCCCGGTCCCCAGCTATCACGATTTCTCGAATGGAAGGCTGGGATGATAACCGCTACACTAAGAATGCTGGGTTGTGGATCGAGAGGGATCCCGGATTGTTGACAGCTGGCGTCACAGAGATGATTATATTGTGGCTGGCGTCAATTAGGGCTAGGCATGTCTCTCGCTTGATCGAGTGGGGAGTTTCGGAGAGTTCGTGATGAACTCGGGTGGGACGGCAGAGCGGACATGGATCGCTGAGTTCAGATGAGCCGCCGGAGCCTCCCTCCCGAACGCCTCACCTAGGGATGTGGAGATGAGAGGAACTGTTCCGCTGTCATTTGAAGATGCCCAGCCTGACGTAGGATTCTTCATTCATGTTGAAGAGCACAGACAGTTGCAAAGTGGCAATTCCGCGGTTGAGCTTATACAGCAGACTCATGTACCGATACATGCATCGATTCTTCAAAGACGGAGTGCCAAACGCAATTGAAGACAACAGCGATTGCGCATGCCATCAAACAGAAACAAACGGTACCAGAATCGAGTCAATTAAGCTTATTTACAGTGCTTGAGCTTTCGTGGAGCCTCTGTATCCGGCCTGACTCGGCTACAAAAGCGCCGGCCGGAGAGCCACTTTAGCAATCTATTAGCGCCCTCTGTGGCGTTCTGTAGGGCCATCGCAAACACGCATCTCTGATTACATTCGGGCCATTCTGCTGGCTCACTTCTTGTTGACTGACAACGCGAGCAACTCGGAACATCAAATTGGGCGTCAATGCGAAAACGTGGCTCAGAGCCGCAACATCTACTTGGCAACCGGCGCATGGCTGCACTGACGTCCAGCCCCTTTCCGTCAAAGCTGAAAGAGGACATCGAAAAAGGAGTTGGTTTTCGATTTCTGACAGAGCTTCAGCTGAGATCCCGTCGTATTGAGATGCGCGCATGCAATGCAGGACGTAATTCTAAAATCCCCAAAAGATACACGTAATCACATGAAAAAGGGCTGAATGAGCCTAGCGACCGTTGGAAGAGAGAGCCCGGGGATACCGGCGAGAGTTGAAATCTGACAGCTATCAGGCGTTGAGGTTCGGGGCAGCTTTCTCGAATCGGCTTGTTCGTCCGCTCTGACAGTTGAGCATCAAGTCGGGAAGTTTTGAAGCCCCATGTTAGCCTCGGCTTGAATGGTCTTTGTGGACAGGATGGAGAGAAAACCCATGTCGCAAACGAACAAGACGAACGGGCTTCGCAACTGATGTGCGGGGAGCTGTGACCAAATATCAGGGCTGCGGTCGTATTTTGGCGCTCGAACCTCGCGACCAGGGAGTGCGAGGGGCCAGCACTAAGACGAAACTAGTGGACCGCCAACACTGAACAGGCAAGACGGGGCAGCCTAGACAGCTCGGCAAGTCGTCAAAAACTGAAGATCACCATGAGGGGGGCCCTCCACGCTTGCCACGCATTCTGGGCCCTGTCGTTGAATCTCCGAGGTTGCAGGCATCCGGAACATGGGTCGTCCTTTCGGCGAAGGGTGATCCCGCTGAGTCTACTGAACTGTAATCGCATCAGATGATGGGTGTCTCTCTGGGCGAATGCGAATCTAAACTCAACTTCACGGACGAAAGAGATCGGATGATCCAGTTGACTCGAGAATGCAACACCACATCTCTGAGTTGTAAGTGATCACCAACAGTAAATCAACCAAATCAAGCAAGTCATCTTCACACCGAGGTGTAAGCACTTGGCAGTAGTCCCATTCGGTGTTGCAGCGAGGACACTCTGCACCCCGCACGAGATACCCCCCTTTACGCATTGGAGTGTCCCCTGAATTACAGCAAGGGAAGAGGCGATGCCAATGTTATACGACACCCTCCAGATGTCGTCATCCCCATCTTGATGAAGAATTCCGCAGGCGAGTGGTCACCACCTGCATCTTAGCGGGCCGACCCCGGACGCCACGCGGAGAAGACGCGGAACTGAGCCCGGACTGCATGGTCGGATAACGCGGTCGACGGAACTAGGCCTCGATGTGGACGCCTCGACAAGGGGCTGCGTCTTCTGCTGTGGCCATCGACGGCGTGGAAGGGTTGCAACGAAGCTTCGATTCTAGGGAGGCAGACAATCGCAATTTGCGCGCATGTGTGTTGTCGATCATGGCGTATAAAGTCCGACCATCCCACGATGAGCCGGCTTAGAGATGGAAGCTAGAACAACCAGGTAGACATTCCTTTTCACTCCTTACACACCAGGTAAGTCTTCAGCATATCACCACCCCGAGCCATGCTCCCACGTTTCGACGTCGCATTCTGACCATTCGCTACCAGGGACCGTCGCCAAGAAAGCCTTCTTCACAATGAGGTTCTCGCACTTTTTCGGCCTTCTGGCCGCCTCTTCTACCGTGGTCTCGGCAGAGGACCTGACCGGCTACGAGTACATCGTCGTCGGCTCCGGTGCCGGTGGTGGCCCTCTCGCGGCCCGCCTTGCCCTCGCTGGCAAGAAGACCCTCCTCATCGAGGCCGGTGATGACCAGTCGGCGAACGAGAACTACACCATCCCGGCCTACAACGCCAAGGTCACCGAGGATGACGCCATGTCCTGGGACTTCTTCGTCCGTCACTACGCCGACGACACCCAGCAGGCCCGTGACTTCAAGACCTCCTACGACACTCCCGATGGCAGCGTCTACACCGGTCTCAGCCCGCCCGAGGGCTCCACGATGAAGGGCACTCTGTACCCTCGCGCTGGAACTCTCGGAGGTTGCACTGCTCACAACGCCCTCATCGCCGTCTACCCTCACAACTCCGACTTTGAGCATATTGCCGAGATCACCGGCGACGACTCTTGGTCCGCGGCCAACATGCGCACCTACTTCGAGCGCATGGAGAAGAACCAGTACCTTCTGCCCGCTCAGGAGGGCCACGGCTACGACGGCTGGCTCACCACCGAGACTGCTCCTCTCAGCATCGTTCTCGAGGACCCCCAGCTTCTCAGCCTGCTCACCGGCGGTGCCTTCGCCCTGGGCAACCTGACCGACTCCGTCATCAACCTCGCCACTCTCATTGCCGGTGATGCCAACTCCGCCTCCGACACCAGAGACACCTCCATCGGCTACAACCAGATCCCCATCTCCACGAACGAGGCTCACCGCACTGGCTCTCGCGAGTTTGTCGTTGCTGTCCGTGACGCCAAGAACGCCGACGGCACCCAGAAGTACCCTCTCGATGTCCGTCTGAACTGCCACGTCACCAAGGTCGTCTTCGACACCGATGTCACTCCCCCCAAGGCTACCGGCGTCGAGTTCCTCGACGGCCAGTACCTCTACCGCGCCAGCCCTCGCTCCCGCAACGCCGGCGAGGGTGTCCAGGGCTCTGCCACCGCTTCCAAGGAGATTATCATCTCCGGAGGAACCTACAACTCTCCCCAGATCCTGAAGCTCAGCGGTGTCGGTCCCAAGGAGGAGCTCGAGAAGTTCAACATCACCGTCGTCAAGGACCTTCCCGGTGTCGGCACCAACCTCCAGGACCACTACGAGATCTCCGTCCAGGGCCGCACTCCCACCAACTTCACTGCTCTCGACGGCTGCACCTGGGGCTTCTACGGCCAGGACGACCCCTGCATCACCCGCTGGGAGAACCCCATCCTCGGCGACCACGGCCTCTACAGCTCCCCCGGCCTGGCTGCCACCATGTTCTACAAGTCCACCACCACCGAGAACAACGAGTGGGATGTCTTCACGTTCGGCGGCCCCGTCAACTTCCGCGGCTACTTCCCCGAGTACAGCTACAACGCCACCGTCAACCACGACTTCTTCACCTGGGCCATCCTCAAGTCTCACCCCAGAAACACCGCCGGCGCCGTCACCCTCCGCTCCGCCGACCCCCTTGACATGCCTGACATCCTCTACAACTACTTCGACTCTGGCGTCGGCGACTACGACGCCGATCTCCAGGCCATGGCCGAGGCCGTCGAGCTTGCCCGTGATGCCTTCACCCGCCAGCTTGTCCCCATCACCGAGGAGCTCCCCGGTGCCGACGTCGTCGGTGTCGATGCCGTCAAGCAGTACGTCAAGGACGCCGCCTGGGGTCACCACGCCTCTTCCACCTGCCCGATCGGCGCCGACGACGACGCCATGGCCGTCCTGGACTCCAGTTTCAGGGTCCGCGGCGTCGCGGGTCTCAGAGTTGTGGATGCTTCCGTCTACCCTCGCATCCCTGGTACCTTCACCGCCGTTTCCACTTACATGGTCGGCGAGAAGGCCGCGGACGTCATTCTCAGCCAGAACGAGTAAAAAACGAGTACCAAGAGCTTCAATGACATGGAATTTTAGCCGCATAAAGACTAGCATATTGGAGAGGAAGAGCGAAACTGTTGCGTTCGTGTAGATAGGCCTTCTTTTGTTCACTCATTTGATTTAATAAAATACCCACGAGGAGTTTTGCCATCCGATTGTCATCTTGCTCTTTTGTGATCCTCAACCCATTTGGTGACCGTCTGTAGCCCATTTGTTGACAGAGTCCGCTGGGTTTCCGTCGCTTAAAGATGCAAGTAACAGTGATAGTGATAAGGATAGTGCAGAAGAGGCAGGTCAAGCGCCACATACGGAAGGTTGCGATGACTCTAAGCGATGTCTGTACCCGACTGCTGCGATGTCTTCGGCTACTGCAACCTAAGAACGCAACAGACGATTGGGTTGCGGGTGCTACTGTGACGGACTCTGCTGTAGCCGCAACAGCTCTTTCACCTAACCGAGACAAATACATCGGGATTCACGCCGGAGTGCCTTTTTCTTCAAAAGCTGTTTTGATTATGAATTAGGACATTAATCAAGTCCGTTATACAGCCGCAAAGAAAACGGCGCGGATATATCGACTAATCAGGTTATACGCTATGACATGCAAAAGAAACAGGTAAAAAACGAGTGTGATGCACGCTTTGCTCATGTTGGTGTGTGTAATACAACCCTCATTGAAAACTTGTTTGGTTCAAAATTCAGGACATGAAACTTTTGGGTACCACTCCCTGTGTATCATGGGCGTGAGAGTCCCCCCTCACCCTGCCCGCGTTCAGCTCCTCTTCGCTCTCGCTGACCGACTTCACGTTGGCTAGAGCGTGCGGCTCATCCTTTTTCATCCGTGACGGAAACCCGAGGCTTGACCTCCTCTTGCTCTTGCTCGCGCTCGACGCTCCGCTGTTCCTCTTGTCGCACTTGAAGTTGCCGCAGCACTTGCACGGGATGATGGACATGCCGTAGGCGTCCTCCTGGGCCTCCTTGCCCTGGCCACTCTTGAGGTGCTGACTCGTGTTCATGAAGGCGGAGGGCCGGCGAGCGACGTCGTCCGTCATTCGGAGTCGTGACGGGTCAGTGGTCATGCCGAGCTTGTAGCCGACCAGCTTGAGAAGAGGGCGGATGGTTGCCAGACTACCAGCGGTGATGGCCAGGCCCTGTTCAACTGAGGACCAGATGGCAGTGTCGAGAGTGGCCCCTACAAGTATCACGAGTCAGTAATCAGCCTTACGGGTGGGGGATGTTCATGAATCATGGTAACCTACATAGGAAGTCTGGGTCCTTCAAGTTCATGAGATAGCCGAACCGGACGATAACTGCGGAGCTTGCCCTGCCAAGAGTGTCAGTATCCAGATGAGGCATTTCGAGGCGGAGACGCAACATACACACAACCCATAACCAGCAACGGAATCAACGCCAACTTGGCTCGTGTCTTGAGCTGCAGACTCCAAACGAGGAAACCCGGGAGAATGGCGAATGTCATGTCGGAAATGACACTGAAGGCGCTGTACAGGTAGGCCAGTCCAATAACCACGTTGACGTCGATGCAAGTTCCTGGGATGTCCTTGTTCCAAAAACGAGATACTGGCAGACACTGGAACATGGAGACGAAGAAAAAGACAACTCCGGCGAGAACGGTGAAAATCATGGCGCAGTAGATGATCCAAATATGGACCTTTTTCGTCGCGATACGGAGAAGGAAGTAGGCGATGGACATCTTCGATGTGATCATGCTGAGGGCGTAGAAGAGGTAGCAGTACCACCAGCGCTGAAAGATCTGTTAGCTCTGTCCTACGGGCCACCCCGAATCGCAACCAGAAGCCCTTACCTCCATCGCGTTGTGGATTTGGTCCTGCGTGAGGTCCTTGAAGTGACGGCCGGTGCCATAGTGAACACCCGCAATCGAAAACGAAGAGTAACAGATGAAGAAAACCTGTCGAATGTCAGCAATCCCAGTCACCACAAAGACGATGACGCTTTCCATACCAAAGCCAACACCATGAGCCAGTCATCTCGTCCAAAAGCCTTCACCAACCCTATCCTCACATAACATCGCAGCGCCGTGGCGATGATTGCCGTCGTGACGAAGAAAACGTTGACGCCTAGAAGCTCCGGTCCTCGATTCTCAATCTTCTCAGCCATGGGTGCCATGTGTGCGATTTGTTGACTGGGGTGATCCCCAAAGTAAAAGACCCTCCCATTCCACTACCAAAGAAAGCAAGGTTATGGGGAGGATGGGGTAGTGCGATCTGGGTCATGCGTTCTTATATTCATTCAAGAATGACATTTGGCAGCTGCCAAGTCTCCCTCAATCTTGACCAATTCCCGCCCACAAGGGCACTAGAACGGGCCAGCAAGGGTGCTGGACGTGCAGTGTTTCCATTTGCGGACCCCCAGCCTGACGTTCTTCTGGCCCATCAATGTGAGATCGTCCGCCTGCCTGCTCCATCACTCCTGACAGGCTCGGCGTTTGCCGTTTCAACCATCTCTCTCCACTTGAGAGGTTGATATTCTTTACGTAGTAATGTGTTGCAACAAGGCAGGGCCTCTTCATAAGGCGTCAGACTAAGTAGCTTGGTCCATTGGATGGAGCTCCTTCGCTGCAGCAACTGCCCTCACCTTGGAGAACACTAGCGTGTCGAGAGCGTTGGGAGAGGGGGGCAGGTTGCTGCAGAATGCCCGAATCCGGCAAACGTCTCGGGCGGAAGGGGAGGGACGGGAGAGATGCCACATCCGCACAAGCCGCACTATGCTAGGGCACCCCGACCAGTCCCGCTCCGGAAAAGACGTCCGGCGGACAGACGTTTGTGGCTGACCAATGATCTGACGACGGCGTTGGTTTTCTCGAAGGAAACGCTAGAACAAAATCGACATTCCCCCACTGGGCGCCACGTCCGGAACGTGGCCGTGCAGGGAGAGTTGGCAGGGCTCCCTTCGTGTTTAGCCTGGGTGACCATGTTCTTAGACAACTGCCGTCTGTACGACAAATTGTTGCTCCTGTCGATCGCGCCCGGGGCTAGGAGGAGGGAGCCGTGGAAGCGAGACGATGAAGCCCAGCGAGTAATTCCAATAGATCAGCGACAACGGACCTGACTCTTCTGGGCAGCCTTTGGGGAGGGCCTTCAAGGGCTTTCTCCTCCTCAGGGGCGGACAGATAGATCTACGGCTTGTCCCGAGACCGGCGCGCCTCTGACAAAAGAGATCCGTTCCGGCCCTCAGTCTTGTGTGGGAGACCACGGCCCGGACAAGTCCATGACCCAATCTTTTGTTCGTGCACCCAGTGGACTGGAAGACCTGAGACAAGCTCGCCTTTTGGTGCGATCGCAAGTGTCGACGCAAGTGCGTGTGATTTGCAATGCATTTCGTGAGACAAGAAGACTTGAGAGGAAAAAGTCTGCCCACGCAGAGGCACAAAGTGGGCGAACTTCTGGGGTGTCAAACAGCAATTTCGTGTACGACATGCCTCGTTCAGGGGAACGGCGGCGACAGAAACTTGATACGGGTTGAGCTCCGTCGCGCTAAGCACACCTCGCGTGTCTAGTGTCGCCACATGGTGAGATTTCACCAACAAGCGAATGCAAGCCTGAAGTGGGTGATGGCGAAGACACACGCAAAAAGGGACTTTGTGAAACCCTGCCATTCTGAGCGCGCAAGCTTCGGAAAATTGCGATGTGCTCGGAGAATAGCAGTGACAGGTCACTTTCGTGCTACATTGCACATCTGTCCAGGTTCGGTGTCCTAGAAGATCATAGTCTGCATTATCCCCCGCAAATCCTTGAAGAGGTTGGACAAACTGTCAAAAGGAAAATCTTCATGTGTCAGATACCCACCCTTGCCCAATCTCTCTCTCTCTCTTCTTTTCGCGCCCACACAAAGAACTGCTCGGAGGTTTCCCATCTACGGGCCTTGGGGGCCATCTATGGGGCCACCCAGATGACACACGGGCAGCGGATAGTCCCTCTTGGCATCATTTGATGGGTCCGGAAATAGGCCCCCTTCATCCCGGAACCCACGAGAGACCCATCACCAGCACGGGCGAAATACGAATCAATGCGCGGCTTGCAACTTGGGGGCGAACTGCGTCTGCACGGCCCCTCTCTGATCGCAGAGACCTCCTGAAGGTTTTCCTGATTTCTGCCTGCAGCAGATGGAGATGCGGTTACGCATTTCGCGGAGAGGGTGGAGTGATGTTACTCTTGGCCTGCCCCGTTCAGGACGAACTGGAGCTCTGACAATTACAGATGCAGGGAGATGCCGGGCTGTCATCACCGAAAACGGACCGAAAGCGACCAAGATCAACACTGTCTCTTTCTGTTTTGCAGGTCCAGAATGCGACTTCACGTGCCTGACGGGTGACGAACCTGTTCCTGCCAATGCAACATCGCGCCGTCAGTGATCGACCAACCAGGGACTGACAGTGTTTCACTCAAGCCGAGACGGGCAATGAGGTGCAAGCAGCCTTGTGAAACTTCGAGATTATCTTTAGGCGGTGAAAAAGAGACAGAGATAGGGCAACCAGCCTTTCTGGCCATCGTCGTTGGAGCGTCTTGGCATGTCGGTAGTTAAAAGTCAAACAGATTGACAGAAACTCTGCTTCATTTCGAGTAACGCGGATGTCTTCAATCCGCAGTCGCGCAACTATGTGTCGGTGTTCTACAACGCAACGTTGCCATCCGCGTGTAGCATTGCCCCCCTAAGCGATGGACAAAGCGTTGGTAAGCTACTTGTGCGCAACGCCTTCGTCTGAAGGATTCATTTTCTCCAGCGATATAAACACTTTTAACCCATATATCGCAGGAATTAAGTCGATTGCATAGCACTCGTGGTATGGTGACCGGGCCTGCATGCGTCTCCCCCTCTCCACCTGGGGGCTATGCAGTGAGCGAAATTTTAGGTGGGTTTGGCTACCATGTCTTCCGGCCAACCCCATGCGTCCTTCAGATGCTGCAAACTAATATCGGTGCCATTCCAGTCAGATAACGTCCTTTAGAGTTCAGTGCCTTGTCGAATATCAAATCACCGAGTCCCAGCTGCGGTAAAACTTACATGAGAGCGGTGTCCCAGGCATAGGCCTCTGCCGTCGAGGAGAACACCTGGCATAGCGCTTCTTGTTCGGGGTACGATCTGAATCTGTCGCCGGCCAGGGCAATACCCATACACGCAATTCTACGACCAGGGGAGGGATCTCCGTGTTATTCAGCGGCCTTCGGCGACGCCGGAAAGGAAGATCGAAACTTACATGTGCGCTGGCGTGCTTCTCCCATGTGACTCTGCAATGCCGCACATGATTTTGATGTCGTTGATGATTTCGTTCTGGACAAGGGCACCAAAGTTTAGCATGCCGATGTCGGGGTATGTGATGAAAGAGAGAAAACCAACGTCTAGTGTCTGAGCCGCCAACTTGAGGTTCTTTCCCAGGCGTGGCACGTTCGGGTTGTGCGCCGTTAAGAGTATCCGATTGAGATGGTAGAACTGCAGCCCGACGACAACAGAGTCGTTGATGAGAAGTATCTCAGGAAAGACGCCCTCGTTGGGAGGGTTCTCGACAAATATGGGTAGGAACGTTTCTGGGGCTGCTTTCATCCACTGGGCCGCGTAGCTTGAAAGCTTTGCGTAGACTGTAGAGTTCGTTTCGTCGCCGAAACAGTATCCGATGATATCAATTGTGTGCAAGATCATTCTCCAGGCCCATGTTTCGTTGTCTGCAGGCTGAAGAGAGCGATCGAGGTCAAGATGATCCAACTTAAACTCGAGGGTTTCTTGTTGCATCACTGAGCGCCAAATCTCGAGCCGTAGCCACCCTGAGAATGCCGCTTCTGAGAGACTACCCTTCGTGGTGAAGTTGGCGCGCGACGTGAGAAACTCCCAGATTGTGCTATGATCTACCAAAGGTTTGTCAAGAGAGGCCAGGTCAAGTTCTAAAGACAGGGTCAGTACGCTCCGACCGCGTTCATGTCAAGTAACTTGTCGGGCGCTCACCGCTTATGCTGTTGTAGAGTCGGAGGAGAACCGCCGCAGTTACGTGCAGGTCGTCTACCTCCGCGCTGGGATCGATCAACACTGGGCTCAGCAAGCTCAAAGCCACCGCATAGTAGTGCTCGGCTGGTTTGTCGAAGAATGCTAGCGTCTCTTCCTCATCTCTTGACTTCGCCGCGATCGCTAGAATGGCGTTCAGTAGCAACGGACTGATGGCAGCATGTTGCGGCAGCACGGTCGTGAACCGGTGGTGTGGATCTCCATAGTCGAACGGGGGCGCGATGAATTCGAGAAAGTATCGTACCAAGTTCGCCTCTCGGTGGTCTTTGAGCGGAAAGTTGGATGAGTGGAAGGATCGTTGAGGTTCGGGAAGACTTGGGTCTTCGCTAACACTATTGCTACCGATGGAACTAATGGATCCGATGGGCCCAGATAGCTGGCTTCGTGGCACCGGAGAGACGGTACGAGGCAGATCATCCAAAGAGGCCTGTCCTGCAGAATCTGGACTGTCGTATGGAGCATGCGGGTGAAGAGCGGGAAGCTTGGTCAAGGGATATGGAATTCCTCGCTCGATGGGAAGAGGACTACCCTCTTCAGGCCCTGGAGGATTGAGGTTTGAATTCGCACCATCGCTGAACGGTGCCCAGGCAACTCTGTTTGAACTTTCCCTCCTTCGTCGCTGGTTCGCTTTTGGTGGACTGGGCGGTGCTGGTTCCTCTTCAGAAACGACGTCTTCGTCCGAATCGTAGTCGTCGTTGTGTATGCTGTTGATATCTGTTGTCTCGTCGATGAAGCGTATCCTCTTGCTATTAATCTTGCACCACTTCTGTGTCTCGGAAAACTCGTATTGAGGTTCTCCACGATTTCCGTCACCGTCACTGAAGTAGCCATACTGTTAGCAAGAGGCATATTTGCTTTTCCACTAAGGGTGGTCATACCCAGTGACAGTTATATGTCTGAACTTGAGCTTAGTAGCTCGGACACATGACCTTCCTTTACTAACACACTGACCACACGGGTCTCCTTTGTCGCCTGCATCATCAAGCCGTCACGGTTAACCAAGTACTCGGGAGCCATTCGATAATGGGTGTCAACCCCACTACTCACATTTAATATGCCTGTGTGACAACCGGACTCATATCAGCAAACATGGGGAAGTTGGTAGGGCTGACTGTGGCGTCTAGTTCATCCAAACGGAGGCTTCCCTCCGCGGACTACCTCAACACCCTCAAGCGCGGAATGACTTACCTTGCACGACAGCTCTCGCAGCCCCGCCTCCTCACGGCCCCTGGAGCGGGCATTGAGACAACCCCAGATTGATCAGTGATCTCATCCGGCGGGATGAAAAACGGCTCGCGGAGTGCGCGGGATACACGCGTTTGGTGGGGGGTTTGTGTTGAATGGCAAGAGAAAACGGGCTGTAAATCGGTCTGCCGGTGGGAGGCGCCCACCATGCATCCCGTGGGCTTTCGCTCTTTTTTATCCAGATTCAGCGCGCCAGGCAAGCTTTTGAGTGCGGGGGAAAATTGGGGGAAACGGGGCGGGCAGAACGCCGAGGGTTCCCGGCCTGGCGCTGCCGCGCATAGTCGCCGGCACAGGTTGCGACGACGGTCTCGTGGCAAGCTTACCTGATAGTTCAGATTGAGTTTTCAAACACGAGATTGACATCAGCTGTAACGACGATGCCAAGCACCAAACCTGTGGTTTGGCTTTTGACTTCCTTCAGTCTAAAGGCTGTTGAATTGCCAGACTTTTCGTCTGCTGCCGGGCGCCTGTCTAGACTCTGGAGAGCAGGAATTCTGCCCGTCCAGCCATTCCTGTTTGGCTAATTCAAGCAACGCCGACCGTACAACTCTCTTTAGAGTTGGCTTTGATCGGAAAAGAAGAGATCACGGCAGATCTTTCCGACGTCAGTATCCGCCCGGAAAGCCTCATCTATTTTCAGGACTACTCCGCGTCCTTGGAAATGTGTGACGTTTTGGTGTCGGGTTTTTGCTACCTCATGCGCTCAAAAGGGTTAAAAAGGGGCGGAATCTCAAGCGACCCCCACATGACTCGGCCGCCAACCGGACTCCACTTCCCCGCAGTCGGGATCGTCACGGAGACGTGTCCGGCTCTCTGTGTTTGACATTCTAGGCAACATTTTCCGCGATTTTCGGCTTCAACGAGACAGCGATTGTCTATGATTGGCCTGTAGAGTGATGTTGGTCGCAGCCATATGCAACAGCTTCAGCCTCCAACCATGGCATCTTGCGCTATGAGTTTCCGAATCCCGCACTTCCCCGGACTACTGACCTTGGGGTAAAGGGTTAAACCTCGCGCGGAGTATTGTGTAGATACAAACGCATTTGCTCCATTTTCGTGCATGCGACTCCTGACATCTTGTATATAAGACGACGATAGTTCATCCCGTTCGACTGTCTCTCGTCAAGTCACAACCCACAGCTTCTCGTCTTTACCGGTACACTCTTTGGTAACCCTTGAGACGACTGCCCAGACAGCAAGGACGAACATTACCCTTTCATATCACGACTATCATAATGGTGCAAAGGCTCAAGATCGCTGCCTCTGGCCTTGGCCGTATGGGCAAGCGTCATGCTGTCAACTTCCTCCACCGTACCCCTCGCGCGGAACTCGTCGCGGCCTTCACACCGGATCAGACTGAACTGGCCTGGGCGAAGGAGAACCTTGAGCCCTACGGCGTGACTCTCTACACCGACTACGACCAGATGATCAAGCACCAGGGGCTTCAGGCCGTCGTCATCGCGACTGTCACCAAGGTCCACGCCGAGCAGGCCCTCAAGGCTGTCGAGAAGAACCTCCACGTCCTTTGCGAGAAGCCCATCTCTCTCAGCATTGAGAAGTCCATGGAGCTGGTGAAGGCTGCTCAACAGAAGCCTCACCTTAAGGTCATGTGCGGCTTCTCCCGCCGCTTCGATGCATCCTACAGGGATGCTTTCGAGAAGACCCAGGCTGGTTTGATTGGAAGGCCTTCAATTATCAGGTCCCAGACTTGCGACAAGCATGACCCCAGCGGTTTCTTCGTCCAGTACGCCGCTCTCAACGGTGGCTGCTTTGTTGACATGAGTGGTAAGCAGACCTGTGACCCGAATGATATTGCAACACTGACACATGTCTTCAGTACACGACATTGACCTGGCAATGTGGTTCTTCGGTGACGATTCAGTGGTGAAGTCGGTGTCAGCCTCGGGTATCACTGCAGTCTCTCCTGAGCTGGCGGAGCATGGTGACTGTGACAACGCCGTCGGCATCGTCGAGTTTTGGGGCGGCAAGATCGCCTACTTCTACAACTCCCGCATGATGGCCCATGGTCAGGAAGACACTACGGAGTTCATTGGTACTGCCGGCAAGCTCACAGTCAACGGCAACCCCCAGTCCAACTTTGTCAACATCTATGGCCCCCAGGGTATCACAAGAGAGGTCCCTGCTCACTACTACGGTAGATTTGAGTACGCATTTGTTGCCGTAAGTGTCTCGCCGTACTTCATTACCCATCAGTAGTAGGCTAATCATAATCACAGGAGGCGAACGAGTTCACAGCAGCTGCCCTCGACAACACCCCGCTTCCATTGAAGTTGACTGGGGCTGTCCAGGCAGTTCAGATCGGCTCTTACTTGCAAGAGGCACTGTTGACAGGAAAGAAGCTGTACTTTGATGAGACTGGTCGTCGCATTGAGAAGCAGGGCAAGTTGTAATAGGTTTCACAGGATATAATAGAACAGATTTCTTAGCCAATTTATTGAATGACCGGGAAGGCATAGAGACTTTGCCCGGCAATCTCCTGCCGATATCCATCACATACATGTCTGTTTCCTTTTGTACTACACACGCACGTGAGCTTCGTGTTAAAAGCGGCATGACAGGGATCTGTTTCGTGGGCTTTCTTTGAAGTAAGGTACAGGTACCTATGAAGATGATGAAAGATCCAAAACCTATCGAGTAGTAGATGAAACGACGAGAGGTTGTCACGTCTTTTCCGAGAAAAGATGACCAAAGGCACTGCTACTACCATCCTGAGACCACTGGACTGTCAATTGCTCGATGAGATCCTTCGTCAACCACCCGGTTCTTAGATGAGTCTTCCTCAGGAACTCCAGGCTTTCCTGCTGTTCTTTGGGGTCAGTGAGATAGACACCACCTGGAAACGTTAGTTTGACTACTGCTTGAGACTACACAGGATACCTCACAGGCCCTCAAGGTATGCGATGCAGTGAACCCTGCGTTGACAACAGAAGGATTGCTCATAGCGAGCCCCAGCAGCACTCGAAAGTTGTCGAGAACAGCTTTCTATAGTCCATGACCATTAGCTATCAAAATTACGCCACGATTTCATCAATGAGCTCACCTCCGACTCCCTTCTCTTCTTGAAAGTGTCAAGACTCGGCTTACTCAAGTAAGGATTGAAGATGTGCAGGACCATCCGTGCCAAGCTGTAGTGTTGATATCCAACCACTTCATACGTCAGCCATGAAAACCCCCAAGGTTTCAAAGTACCTCAACCTACCGTGAGCGGGATGCGTCATCCAGATTGTGGGGAACGCGGAGCCGTTGGCGCTGTTAGTATGCGGCGGTTCAACCCAGAGAGGATCCGCGTGCCATGGATTAGAGATCAACCAGTTCCCCAGCTCCTGATTGAGCTTATTCCACCTATCGAGGTCCCTGATTGCCGCTGGTTGAAAGGCGTACGCGATGGCTTGTGCGCATAGAAATACTGCACGATTGGCCAAGCATTCCGGTTCAGTTCGGACAAATGAGCTTGAGCCTTTGTAGCTGTCCAAATTGATGCTCATGGGCTGTGACTTGACAAGCGCCACCCAGTAATCTTGTCGAAGGACGATCCAACTTGCTGCCTCTCCCAAGCCTCCTTTGCTTGCTAGGCTGAACATGGAGTTCAACAGTTTTGAGCTGCCAGAAAGGTGGACACCGAAGTCAGAATCTACATCGGATTAGACAAGTGCATTATTGTGACGGATATCAGACCTTACCGGTCATCTCTTCGTACTGCCTGAGGATGACAATCGCGGCTAGCACTTCTTCGTTCAATGCTTCAAATGAGCTGTCCAAAATTGGGATAAGATACTGAAGGGCATGGCTGTAGTACGTCGATGGTTTTGAGTCGTCTGTTCCTGCTATGGAGCAGAGACTTCGAGATGCAAGGGCAATGATCGAGTAGGCCAACAAGGGCGAATGGCAAGCTCTCTTGGGGACTTCTGTACCGAAATGTCTTTTGACGTCGCAAACATCGACCTAGATGATGATGAGCCAAGCCTTCCTGATAGACGAGAGAAGTCTAAGTCTAGTCTTACCCACATGGAAAGGTCATTTATATAGTGCATAAACAGCCTAGACTTTTCTTTATCCTCGAAAGGTCGCCCGATTCCGTGCTGACTGAGAGCGATCGGGACAGACGCCGAATGATCTGATGCGCGGCGGCTGCAAGTGAGCAGTATTAGCTGAACAAGCATGCAACAATGTCTCGACACTATGAATCAAACATACTCATCCTCGGATTCCCGGGCAATTTGCCCCCCAGATGTAGACTTGTAGACGTCGAAAAGTGATGGTAATGAGCTGGTCCACGTTAGATTTCCCGCCTCATGCTCAGGCATCCCCACGATGAGGTGATCCTCCGAACAAGAGATGTGTCAGATTATCCACACGGAAGGTCACCAGCTTGGTGATGTTCGCCTGCTGAGCGCAATATCTTCGGATCGAATGACTGCTGGAAATTTGGGGACGGTGAGATGTGAAGGGAACTTTGCGGGTTTCGTTACCTCATCTGGACGGAATGGGGCAATGGCCGCGAGATTGACCCCGCATTTACCCCGCACCCCCTGAAGCTCAGTCTCTTCTCGTCAGCTGTTTGTGTACTAGGTTGCTAACTGTCATTAGCTGACCCGCCAATGGCCGCCTAGTACTTGAGGATGTGTTTCCTCTTTATGTTGTTGGTGTCGCGTTCTTCTGGAATTCTGGTGTCCCATGTTACGAATTTGAAAATTGAACAATAGTTCTATTGACTAGATTCCCTGCATAGTGCATCGGGTAGAGCATGCCCCGCACATCCTAGCCGGTTGTTAAGCTGCAGAACCAAGCTTCGTGGCGTAGGCAACTCAATTCTTAACGTTATTAAGAGTTAAAATAATGATGTTTAAGCTTATCCTCGGATGAAGCTTCGTTCATCCCAATCGAGCGAGAATTCATCCGGCAACCGAAATGTTTCCCCCCCATGGAGCGATCCGACAGGTTTCGTACTAGACTTGCCGGGTTTCACCGTCCTGCTTCTTCCCTAAAGTCTGTTCTCCAATAGCAGCATCCTTGGTTGTTGTCTCGGGACCGAGGCTGACCAGCTGGCTACCCTTCTCAACATGGTTGGCGCCACCGAAAAGAACGTCGATCTCTTCCAGGGGGACCTTCTTGGTTTCAGGGATGAAGAACCAGACGTATGCGACCAGCAAGAAGTTAACCGCCATGAAAAAGAAGAGACATTTGAGTCCGGTGTTCTTCAGAAATGTGGGAAAGAATTGTTGGAAAATTGTGTTGGCGACGTTCTGGGATTGAGAGCACATTCCGACAGCTTGAGCTCTGATGTTCATGGAGAAGACCTCGGCGGTGTAGATCCAGACAGTTGCACCCCAACTAAGAAACATTAGCATCGGGTCAAAGAATCACGACAGGGAAAGTAGTTGATGCAGAGCTTACCTGGGCTTGTAGAAAAATGCAAACAAGAAGAGGAGGAATACGATCGCAATGCCGACTGATTGCGACTTTACACCTCCCTCAAGTTCCGGGGTAGCCAAGCTGACAACTGGGACCAGGAGCATACACAGACCCATACCGACTGCACCAACCATGAACAGCCATCGGCGGCCGTACCGATCTGCAGTCCACATCGCATTGAGTGTGAATAGGATACCGAAAGTTCCATTGAGTGCGTTGATGAGGTTGATTGTTCTGGTATCGGGCCAAACCTTCCGGTAGATTGCGGTAGAATAGTTGTTGAGGGTGCCTCGGAAGATTCATGTCAGGAATAGGGCAGTAGATGAGAGGGTGGGGAGGGTACCTTGGCCGGTGAGTTGCTGTCCAACGTTGAGGATCATAGTCAAGAACAGGCGTTTTCGGACGGAAGGATCCTTGAAGAGGGCCGTGTAGTTCGTGCTGATAGCCTCCTTCTCATACTCAATAGCCTCTCTGATGGTGAGGAGCTCCTGCTCGGCTTCTTCTTGGCTGTTTCGGAGAGAGCAGATGGCCTTGTGTGCTTTCTCGGGCTTGTTCTTCTGGATGTACCATCTGGGTGACTCAGGGATCGTCCACAGAAGGGTGCAAACGATAGTCGGAACAAGGATCTGGAAGAGGACGACCATTCGCCAATCCCAGTCTCCAAGTTCCTCCCTGCGGAGAGAGCACGCGTAATTGATCCAGTAAGCAATGAACGATCTGCGAATAATTAGCCTTCGCGTTATGATTGATTCTTGACGATGGAGTCCTCCATACCCAACGCTGAAGTTCAGCTGCCAAAACGTCATGACAACACCTCTAATCTCAGCCGGAGTAATCTCGTTGATGTACACGGGACCAGCCGCTGCTCGCAATTAGCAAGACTTCTCGAACAGCAAAATCGAGTCATGGCGACTCACTCAAGGCCATCCCCTGCCCAAGACCAATGATGACACGCCCAGCGATGAAGACTCCAAGGTTATGTCGTGGCGCGAAAGCTTGCATAAACGCGGCGATGATGGTGACGAGGCAGCCAGCACCCATTCCAACTCTGCGTCCAGCGAAGTCGGCCTGTCAAAGGTGTCAGAATTGCTTCGAGAATTACCTTCAAGTATGTTGTGTTTTTACCAGAGGTCCGCCAATGAAGAAACCAGCTACGATAGCTCCAATAGTGTATGCCGTGTTGATGAGGCCAATCAGCTGTGTGTCTTCGTCCTAAGCCGTGTCTCAGCGTCTTGTCATCATGCATATCATCGTTATCTTGGGATGTGTACCTTGTCGAGATCGAAGTAGGCTAGCCAGTTGTCTGATGCCTGTACGGAATTGAACACGGAGGCGTCAAAGCCGTAGAGCACCATACACATCGCCGCCAAAAGGGCGGAGTACCTGTAGCAAACTTATCAGCCCACGCTATCAGATCGCAGCTGCGACATTGAACTTACCAACTATAAACTCTCCCTGACATCGCCATCTTGCCGACTTTAATGGTAGACAGTAAGCCAGATGAAAGATTCAGTGGAAGTTAGATCGAGAGATGAGGACACCAACCCCGTCCGCGACCGGCGAGGCGTCTGGGGATATTATACCAACCCCGGATCCTTCCCCATGGAGTGTTTACTCCCCACCCTATTGCGGCACAGTCTGGGGTTCTGGGGTAGTGCAAGGCCTAGAAGTGATGAATCACGTTGGCTCTTGGGCATCTGCGGGCGCATGGATGCGTGCCTTCTCAACGCCGCATTTGGGAGCAAGTAGGGCGCGTCTGTGATGTTGGGGCCCAAATGGACTTTTTCGTTCGACCCATCGCACGATAAAAGGTGACAAGGCAGCTGCACTTCGCCCGAGTTCGGGGGAGAAATTCCTCCAACCAGAAAAACGCCAGATACCAAGACGAGGGGGGCCGGGCACACGCGTCGCAGCCTGATCGTTACAGGCTCCCAGTAGCTAGACAACAATCATTCATTTTGCTTTTCAAAATGGAGATAGTTGTGCAAACTTCCTCTGGTATGGTAGTGATGCTAGAGAACAGTGCCTAATCCTTCGGCCGCCCATTTAACCGTCTTGGCTACTTTCACCTGCCTCTTCCAACTTCAAAGCGATGATCTGCCCCTGCCGGGTACGATATCGAGCTTTTCACACTTTACATGCGACAGCAATTATTTTTCAAGAGAATCGTGTGCTTCTGATTGATCGCCTGTCGATTTATATCGAAACTTAGACAACACAACATGACCAAGAAGCTTACGTGGTTTAGACATCTATGAATGCGCACAGCGACCATCATCACTGAAGATGAAAACCACGGAAGGTCGATACGGAGAGCAGAGCAAGCGCAGAAAGAGGTCGTGCTGTGCTTGTGATTGCCAAACAAGCTTCCCCGAGCTGGCCAAGAGGCTTGGCGGTCATTTCGCTCTGGCTCAGCACATGCAGCCGTTTTCTTGGCGTACAGGCTGATCCGGCTTGGTCTCAGCCACCAACAAACATTGCACCGAGATGGATGGTGAGATAGAAGCCGAATTCCGAGAGAGCCTTGTCCCTGTAAGATGGAGGAGATGGGAAGCACGTAGGCGGATGAATGCAAGTTGCAACTTATTGAAGCCATCTACGCGATGTTTAAGATTTTATGCTGTCATGCAACACAGCTTCAGATGCAATCAATGTCCAGAAGTGAGTTATCCATGTTGGTGCACGTCCACTTCGGGTCCTTGCCGCTCGGAGGTGAGACGTTTATGTTGTGAGCCTGGATGTTCTTGCAAACCTTCGCGTCGTTAGATCTCGTCTACTTGGTATTTCGTGAGGGCACTTACTGAAGGATCACTGCAGATGAGCGAACCAACCCGCGGATCATTCTTCTCCGATGTGGTCCCCGTGAAGTCTTTGAACAAGATGTCTTCAATGACAAGGGTGGCCTGAAACCATCGTTAGCACATCGACACCGTCAGCAGGGTAGTTCCGTTCGCTCACTGGGTATTGCTGGCATGCTTCATCGCTTGCGGCAAAGTAGCATTGGGTAAGTTGAATGGCCCCTGTTGAGATCGTCAAAATGGGGTTACATCTTTTCCTGTCATTCTCATGTACTCACAGTCGTTGTTTACGTTGTGATATTTCTCGTACGTCACGTTCCTCACATGGCCGAGTCCACCCCCAGCCTCAGACCCAGTGGTATTTGGCGGTACGCCGGGCCAGATTTTGATGCGAGCACCATCCGACGCGTTTGACATGGAGATGTTGTAGATGTATAGATCTTCAATGATGTCGACCTGCCCTTGATATTGGCCGAGGCTGCCGACAGAGATGCCATGCGATCCATTACAAACCAGACCTTGTACAAGGACCTCTGTGGAGTTGGGCTTGAACGACACACAGTCTACAAAAGTTCAGTTTACAAATTCTGCCAGTTTTGTACGCGCTTACCATCAGTGTTATCAATCACAGAGTTCTGAATGACTATGTTATCACTGCGATAGGTATCCCAACCGTCGGTATTCTGGAAGTGGCATTAGCGGATGAAGCCCCTTTTCCGTCGGTGGAATAGCGACTGACCTTTGCCGGGGATGTGACGTTTGTTACGACGACCGACAGGTCCATGTCAGAGACCAAGATGTCGGAAGAGTTAGCGATGATGTTGAACCAGTTGGGAGAGTTGATCATCTTGAGTCCAGTGATCGACCCGCCCTTCAGGCCGTCCGTGCCAAGGAGCAGAGGTCTGACGACGGTTGAGTTGCCAGCAAGAGCATTCCACCACGTTTGTCCAAGACCTGGTACATATTAGCCCTTTGAAACATCTCTTCGTGAAAGCTACCCCTTACCATCGATTGTTCCCTGTCCAAGCCCATAGATGTTGACATCTTCACCGCCAAACCGCCACATGAGGTTCACATTCTGGTAACGGTACGCAAACGTGTTCGTTTGCCAGTACGTCACGTCATCATTGAAGACAATGGTTCCGAGGATCGCAAAGTCGATGTGCTTCAAGAACGTCAAGTCGACACGGCTAGATATGGTGTACGTCGCATTGGGCATGAAGACGACAGTGCCGCCATCGTTGCAATCGTGCGCAGCTTTAAGAATCGCAGCAGCCGAGTCGCCTCCGGCCTTGGGGCATACGATGCAGACTTTGGAGGGGTCTCTTGCTGGGCTGATGGGCAACGCTCGGCCGGGAGCTTTCGGAAACGGGACGATGCTCGGCCGAGGCGGCACACCATACCCTGATACCGATGCGACGGCTGCCACACAGATAAGGGCTAGGTTTGAGAAGTGCATTTTGAATGAACGAAGCAAATGAAGTCTGAACAAACATTAGGACGTGGTAATAAGCGAAAGACATTGGTCTCTTCAATTACTTATAAGCTTAAAATGAGTTACCACCAGCATCCACTTTGGATAACACTCAAAGGAGACGTCTCCCCTGACCCTTACTATTTGCACTTGCAGGAGTGGCAGTTCAATGGCTCCTCACTTGCCTATGGACTCAACCCCAACGGCCGCAAGCACTGGCTCCTTTCTTAGTACTACCGTAATTCCCTCCACATGCGCAGGCCAACCCCGCAGGATTTAACCGGGCGATCAAGGCCGGGAAATGGTCTTTCCTCAAAGTTGGGGTATTCCGGAGATGAACGCGGGGCATCGTTGTGTTAATCATTGCTGATTTGTTACTTTGCATTGCCTGCATACCCCGCGATGCGGATAGCAGATGCATTGGCGGAAATGCTGCTGCGCCCCTCGCTTTGAGATACCGCGAGCCAGTCAAACCGCATAAGTGGATATGTTACTGCGAAGAGTAAGCATATCGCCCTCTCATAAAACATATTTTTTAGTCTTGAAGAAAGTTGTATATTTCCAGAGGACTTTTAGGTCTTGTTTGCTTAAAGTGAGGTGGCCAGTCAACATTGTACGCGCATGAATATGGGACATCCGATCATCTTCGTAGAGGTAAGAAAACGACGACACGTGTCTGATTAAAATGTCCCAACAGAACAAAAGAAGCAAAAGCCCCCGAGAAACCACCCGGACACAAAGCGTAGACATTCTTCCCTACCGCCACTTTGCATTATCATTCTTCGAATGACTCCCTTCACGGTAGCTCAGATCTGTCAGGCTTCTCTCGAATCTCGGGCATCTCGTACACCGCCCTTGCGTCGTGCGAGAGCTCTGCGTGCGAACCATGTCCATAGGATCCCTGGGCCGGGTGGCCTCCCTGTTGATAGTATTGCGAGGGATGAGGCCGTGGGGATCCCATGGGCGTCGGAGAGACGGTACTCATGCTCATGTCTGAGACAGGCCGCTGGATCCCCGTACCGTCCGAGAAGGTCGAGGGTGAATTGGGATACACGATACTGTGCTTGTCGTAACCAGGGTAAGGATCAGGTGAAGATGGCATTCCCGGTGACTGATATTGAGGGGCCGGAGAGGACTGGTGATATTGCGCTGGTGCCGTTGCCGGTGTCGGTGCTGATGTTTGGGCCTGGGCCTTCCCACGACGTCGCCGCCACATGAAGAAGACGGCTGCGAGAATAGCAATACCGCCCAGAGCTGCTCCGACTGCAATACCTGCAATGGCGCCTGTGCTTAATCCACCATCGTCGGAGTCTTTGATGGGAATTCGAGTTGCTTGAGGCTTAGAGGCTATATCGGTTGCTACGTCGGGTACGAATCCTTTACTGGGAATTTCGGTAGGCGCAAAGATCGCAGTGACCTGTTTGCGCAGGTCTGTGCAGCGGTTGGGCAGGTCCGGCAGGTCGATCATTGTAAAAGGCCAAACGGACATCGTAGCATCGGCGTTGCCCGGCGCGAGGGGACACCTATCGCCGCAGGTGTCCGGGTGGTTGCAGACCCAAGGTTGGTTTTCGCTTTCTCTGTCTTTGCTGTCGCACCGCACGAGGCCAATCCATGGGGACTTGCCTAGAGTCGATCATCAATTAATTATCAAGCCCAATGGAGTGTGACTGCACCCAGCTTACCTCTATCTAGATCGCCCTTGTGCGGGCAGCTTGAATGAGAATACGTTTCGTCGTTGCAGCCATATTGGTATGTGTTAGTTGTTTTCGGGTCCCAACAGCTGTTATGGTCCAAACACTCATGACCCGCAAAGCAGCACCAAGTGTAGTCGTTTGGGCCCACGTCTGTCTCGTTTTGACATGGTAGCAGTTCTGGAGGAGCGACCGCGTTCTCGTGGTAGTAGCATTGGTTCCAGTTCTCGTGCCCTGAGACCCCGAAGGTCAACGGGATAAGGATAATGCCGAATATTGTTTTTAGCATCGTACACGTGTTGCCAATTGCGAAGAGCTTCGAGGGGACGGTTCGACGTGTCGACCAGACTGTAAAGGCGATTCCACGTCTGAGCTTGTTCGGTGGGGAGAAAGAAAGTGGAAGTGAAAGACGTCGGGAGACGGCGAGGAGTCCCAGACAAAAGTGGAACAATAGGCTACTAGATCTGGTCCTGCTGTTTCTCTCCGATTCACTCGACAACCAACAGGAGTCCATCGATGTACAGCTGAGTCTTGAGCCAAGCCGTTCTGCTGACGGCCCCCAATAGCCAAGCCTCAGCCTGCTTCCAGCCTGCCTCCCTGCCGCTCCAAGTGTGATTTTGAATGCACCAACAAGCCAAATCAGCTTTAGGATCTGCAAAGATTTGTCAATGATCACCCTCATATTTGGCGTCGGTGTCTGACAGCCCAGTCGTGACACCCAGCTGGGAATTCCGAACCCCATGCCCCGCATCCTGTCATACCGCTCGAGAGGCAGGCTGCCGACGGGAATCCAAAAGGAGCCACATTGCATGCACCGCTAAATGACAATTTTCTATACATGTACGGGGTACAGCTAGCTAGGATCTGCTCCGAGAGATCGATGGTTTATTCCAGACTGTCGAGGTTGATGAGAAGGATTTGGGCCCGCAGTAGGCTCCAAACGTACTGCCGTGGTCCAGAAGCGAAATGATCCTGGTAGGAAAGGATACTCAGTAGCCAGTCGCGTGTCAGAATCGCCCATCCTAGTGTTGCCAGTTTGAGGTCTCAGGTCAGCTCAAGCGCCACAACGCAACACCAGCAGCAGGTGGACAAGGTTGTGTATCCCCCAAGAGTGTGGTCAGCATGAACGTTGTGTAAAATCTGGGAAACTCGTACGATGCGCTCAAAGTGTATACTGGTAACCTAAGACCATTGATGTTGGTGACGTTGAATAGTCCGGATTGAACTCTAGAAGATAGGAACACACCACCATCCATTTTATGAAGAATTCTTTTGTGAATTTTTATATAACTAGGGATATATAAGAGGTCCCCCTTACTCTAACCACCCCCTATATATCTAATTACCTTTATTAATTACTATTATACTATAGTAATTATATATATATCCTTAAGTTCTTTTAATAAAATACTATACCTTAATAATATAAAATACTTAATTTAATTAATATTATATATGTTACGGTTAGCTATCTAATAGTAAGGTCTGCTAATAGAAGCTAAGGATTAATACGTTCTAACAGTACACTAAGTTATAGTCTAGGTTAAAGGTTATAAGCTATAGTAAATCAGGTTTTTAGAGATTAAAGTAATTAGTCTTAGGCTTAATAAGTAATTTGTAGTAAAAGTAAGCTAAGAGTATCTTAAGGATAAATACTAAGTTAATTACTAAAGAGCTATAAGAGTTTAACTTTAAACTAAGCTTAGGTTATACTATATATAAGTCCTAAATAGTATTCTTTATTTACTTAGAAGTAATTACTTAGGTATATAAAGTAATTGCGATTAATTAGTAATACTAACTAATTACTAAACGTTTTATCCTATACTTTACTAATTATTTCCCTATTTTATTATTATATAATTTATACTATAGTTCTTCTATACTAAGTAAGTTCTTATTATTCCTATGATCCTATAGTATAAATATCCTGTCCTAGCCGCCTAATACCTAAGTAGGTCGTTCAGCTGTTATCCTTATTTATAGGTTATAATAATATAGCTTATTTATTTTAAAGTTTATTTTAATATATTTAAAATATCTCTATATTTTAGCTTAATAATATATTATTTTATTAAAATATACTAATAGAAAGTAGTAGTATATTTAGTATATTATTAAGCTTTATACTAAAAGATTAAATTATATATATAAAAATCTATATATTTTATTTTAATTCTTTTAAATAATTATAAAAAAACTATTACTATTTTTAAAATAATAATAAGTAGTATTAATATAGTATAATAATAATATTTTAATATTAAAAGAGTAATAAGTTATAATAGTATAAAGAAAGAGATACTTACTCCTTAGTAATTCGCACTTTTTTTATATATTTTTATAAATAATTATAGAAGTTTCTCTATAAACTATCCTAGTCCTTAATTATTTCCCTATAAAAGTTATATAGTAGTTAATAAAGTACACCTCTAGCTGGCAAACTATAAAGAAGAAAAGTTAGAAGGGAAGAAAGAAGAAAGACACACCACTATCATTATAACTCTTGCGAATACCCTACACCCACATTAAATACTGTGGAAGAGATTGTCTGCAGTAATGAAGCGATTAACTCCCTTAGCGGTGTTTTGCAAACTAAATTTGGACTAGGCATACGACTAGCGGCAGCTGTAACACTCAGCGCTGAATACTAATTAATTAAGCTAAGATAAGGCCTCTAGCTTAACTAATTAACTGATTTTTCGCCTAAATTTTGCTTAATTTAACTATCTTAATTTAATCTTAATAAAATTACCTATTTAGGAAGTTAGTAAAGCCTTTATAATATATTAATAGGCTAGAAACTTATATTATATAGTGTTTTAATATTATTTTACTCTCTATTAACCCTTCTTTTTAAAGTAATACTTATTAATAGTAATACTACTACTTTAAACCTAATTCTAAAAGTATTATATCTCTTTAAGTAGTAATAGCTTTATTAATAGCCTCTATAATATTAGTATTAGTTTAGTAAAGCTAAATACCCTCTTATAGTTAGTTATTATTACTAAGATAGCGAAGATATTAAGGGTAAACTTATTAAGTATTAAGAAGGTCTACTAATATAAAATCTACTACTAAATAGGATTATTAATAAATTAAGTAACTAAGAGGGTAAAATACTTCTTTAACTTATTAACTTTATTAATAGTAGTATTATAAAAGCTACTATCTAACTATTAACTATAATTAGAGTTTTTAAGCTTTAGAGGTATTATAATTAATATAAATAGCCCTTATAAAAGCTCTTAATAAGCTAGTCTATTAGTATAAGTAGCTATCTTAGTATATTATTACTCTTAGTACTTTTAAAGACCTTCTTTAGTAGTTTAAAGCTACTTATAAGTTTTTTAGGTATTTTAATATTTTTTAAGTTATTATAGACCTCTATTAAGGTATAATATTATAGTAGTAGTATAGAGGGGAAACTCTTTAAGCTTTTTATAGTAGTTATTAAGTACTTATTAGCTATTAATAATTAATAAGTATATAAATATATAAGAAGTAAAGTTAGTAGCTTAAGGGAGGTATAGTAATATAGTAATATATTTAGACTATAAATAAGTAAGGATATTATTAATTAATAAGGTCTATAAGATTAATACTTAGCTAGATTAATATAATACCTTTATTAATTAAAATTACTATAATAAGAGATTTTAGGATATTTATAAGGTTATAAGATTAATCTTTTCTTAAGTAAGAGTATTATAAAGCTTATATTAATCCTTAAGTTAATCTAAGAGATATTTAAGGTTTATTAGGATCTCTTAGAGTTAATTATACTTATTACTTTTACCTTAGCTTTTATATTACTTAGTTTATAAGTAAAGAAGCTTAAGTATCTTATTTAACTTAGTGAGGATTTATTAATCCTTATTAATTAGGATATTTTTATTAAGGATATAATTATCCTTATTCTTAAGCCTTAAGGAGTAATATATATAACTAGTAATCTAGCTATATTTAAGTAAAGTATAATAGATTATATTATATATTAAGTTCTATTAAGTAGTATTACTTAATATTAGATTTAGCTCTTATAATAACTCCTCTTATAGAGTAAAAATATACTTATTATTATTAGCCTTATTATTAATAGATAAGAAGGCTTCTAAGCGTTATAGTAATAATCTAATATACTTAATAATATTCTAAAGCTTATTAATAGGTCCCTTAATCCTCTAATAAGCTAAATCCTCTTAGATCTTACTAATATTAATAAGATAGTTAGATTTTTACTTAAATACCTCTTTATTAACTTTATAAATAATAGTATAACTAATAAAGTTAAGGATATAGCTATAGTATTAAATTTAATAATACTAAGCGTTTATTTCTATATATAAATATAAAATAGATAAATATAGAGCTTTAATATAAGTATTATTAGTATTAGTATTATTAAAGATTATAATATTAATCTTATTAAGTAGGTGTTAATCTCTTATAACTATATATATTATAGTAGTAATATTCTCACTAAAGTAAGTATTAAGCTAATAGTAGAAACCTAAGAGATATTATATTTATTTACTTAACTAGTTAATAAAATAGCTAAAGATAGTAATAATAATATATTAATTAGGGGAGGTCTATAAGTTAAATAATATATAAACCTTTATAAGAGCTTTTTATATCTCCTATTTAATCTATTATTTCTTAGAGTTATAAAGTTATTAAAGTTAATCTCTCTAATTAGTTTTTAACTAATATATCTAAGCGTTAATATTATAATTAAATAAAGTAAGTATATACTATATATACTAATTACTAAATATTATAAGAAAGTTATTAGTATTAATAAAGAAACTTATAGCTAGCTCTTTAATCTATATAGTCTTCTACTTAAGTATAATAATAGAGAGAGATTAATAGTATTTAGATAGAGTATTAAAGTTATTAGGATTATTAGTAGATATATTATTAACTTTATAGGTATTTTAGAAAATAGAGTAATTATACTTAAAGTGCTAAGTAGAGCTAGAGGTAGCTATAGTATTAAATAGTTAATTAAGAGTCTCTACTTTATTATAATATTAGTAAACTTAATAAGTACCTCCTTTTATACTATTAAGTATAATCTTAAAGATAAATATACCTTTATTAGTAATCTAAGAAGTATAACCTTAACTCCCTTTTTTTAAGATAGTATTAATATTAATAAACTACTAACCCTTCTATATAGCGTAAAGTAAAGCTTTAAAAGTATTATATATAGCTAAGTTAATAGTTAATATATTACTAATAGTAATAGATAATATATAAATCTAAGTAGTAATCCTATAAAGAAATAATACTTTATACTTAATAAAGTAATTAATATATTAATTATAAGTTAATAGAGGTATCTTAGTAATAAGTAAAAGGTTAAAAAAGACGTTAAGAGGTATATATAGGTAGGATTTTAAGGTGTAGTAGTAGTAGTAGTAATAGTAATAGTAATAGTAGTGTTAATAATAATATTAAAAAAGGGTTATTTTTAAGGGCTAATAAAGAGGTTAAAAAATAGGCTTTTTTTAAGCTTTAATAAAGAAGCTAAAAATATATTAATCTAGTAATATAGTAAAAAGTATATTTTTAGTACTTTTAGTATTTCTTAGTAATACTAATCTTATTACTAAGAAGTACTTAGCTTTACTCTACTACTTATTAATATAAAAGTATTACTAAACTAATATTAATAACTACTTACTTTTTTTTTTTTTAGAGATATATTATAATAAGACTTAATAAGCTAATAATAAGTCTACTATATAAGGAATTATAGAGATATTAGTTTAAAACTAGCTTAAGTTATTAATTATAATATAAAAGCTTAAAAAGTTATAACTTTAAGCTATTAAAAAAGAATATCTAGTTAACTTTTTTATTTTTTATTAAATCTTTTAAAAATTCTAATTAGTCTAGAGGTTAGATTTTTATTCTTCTAAGTAATATCGTCTTATTAAGCCTAATTAAGCTAATAGCGCTATTAGCTTAATTAATTAACTATCTGAATAGCCTCAATTTGATTGGTTAATTGATTGATTGATTGATTCGGCTTGGTTGGTATGCTGCGCTAGTAACACTCTAATCTAGTGGCATGATCTACAAAGATTTATCAATGACATTCACATTGCTGTGTAACATGTCCGACGCGTCCACACGAAATACTTACTACCCGCTCTGGAATTTACCTCACTAATTCGCGCCAGCGTCAGAGTAATGCACACCAATGCTATTTGCATTACAACCTACTCTGCCTAAGGAAGTGTTAATGAGTAGTAGAGGTGTACTATCCTTATGGCGCAAAGGAATAACGCCCATCAGCTTCTACGCACCCTGAATCATGTTCATACGAGGAGGCCAGCGTGACCAACTACACTACGAACCATGAGTCGCGACATTAACGAATCCGTTGTCATTATTAGGCACTAAACGGTTGAGTTCCCAACACCCCAACTGGCTGGGCCGTAAGAATGGTGGCTCTGACGAAAGCGGTTTGATTGGTGCAACGAGCATCCGTCCATTGATGTGGAAGGGTACTAAAACCCAACTAACTGTCTGACATAGCTTTTCCACATTACCAACCGTTCAGAAAAACAGAAAATGCTCACTCCATACCTCATCTTTCCATTTTGACGTTCAAGTGGGCATCTGGGTGCACACATTCTATCTAGCGATGGCCAATCTTTTGCCGTCACCAGAAGACCCCCCCGTATGGACAGAGGGATTTGCCGAGTTCAAGAATTTGTCAGATGATGATGGACATTCTATCGAAGAACCGCACAAATGCTCTTGGTGCGAGAATATCCGGATACTGGAAGAATCACCAGACGGCAGAAACTTCGCGTCAACCCCCCTGTTACGGCCTCAACACATCTTGGAAGCCGCGAAAACGGGCTGTCTGTTCTACAAATGGGCAGCCGCGTGTCTCTATAATGTCATTTCCGAGGGCAAAGTTCCGAAAATAAAAGGCAATGAGACGCTTTTCTTGACCTTGAGCCCAGAGGCAAGTAGGTTCGGGGTTAATTTCCAAGCCTCACTGAGATCGGAGTCGACTTCCTCGGAGACGGACTTACCTAGAATTCATGCCTGGACGTATGAGAGTAAGTCGGCGACTGTAGACTTGGCCTACTTCGTAGCAACATGCAAATCTCCGTAAATCAGCGCTAACAAACGAAGCAGGAGATATAGCCGCCAGTTTCTTGTCCCGTCGGCCACCAGAAATCAAAGCTGATGAGAAGACCCTGGAATTTGGGAGGTCTTGTTTGCGAAATTGTCTAGCATCCCATGTCAGATGCCGGCCGGGACTCGCGGAAAAGGTTCCGAGGTCCCTCACAAGCATGAAAACCTTGAGCCCGAAAGATGCTCCATCTAGGCTTCTTCACATCCAAGACAAGGGTGGAGAACTTCATGCACGCCTCGTGGACCTATCTCAGCTGGATAGTGAAGAAAGCGAGCATCTCATGCAGAACGGATACTTCACGTTGTCGTACTGCTGGGGAAAAGACCAGCCCGTCCAACTGACCTTCGCCAATGAATCCAGGCTCAGGAACGGGATTCCTTCAATCAAGCTGCCAAAAACCCTTAGCGACGCAGTCTGGGTCTCCCACTCCCTGGGTTACTATTTCATCTGGATAGATGCCTTGTGTATCTTTCAAGACAGCAGCTCGGATAAGGCAGTTGAAATCGCACAGATGGCGCGTTATTACAGCAAGAGCACCCTTACGATCTGCGCAGCATCAGCAGCCAATTGCAACGACGGCTTGTTCCAAAAGCAAGGCAGTCCACCGTGTCAATTCCAGTTCGGCCCTATAGAGCTTGAGTTCAAATCGAAGTCAGGGCAGCTTGGCCATATCTATCTGGCAGGCGAACTGGTGCCATTGCAAGAGCCTTTGACAATTCGAGCTTGGACATTTCAGGAAACTATGTTATCTCCGAGGATGTTGATATTTGGCACCAATGAGCTATACTGGTCATGCAAAGCGGAGCATGGCTCCCACTTCGACGGACTTTATGACCGGATTTTCGGTGGTGTCGATAACTTGATTCCGGGTATTGATTCTTTAGAACCAATGCGTTTCATGTCCCCCAAACACCAATGGACTTTCATCGTCTCTCAATATTCGAGTCGACTATTGGGGTTTCCCGTTGACAGGCTTCCAGCGGTCTCGGCATTGGCCAGTGTCTTGCAAGACGGCGATGGCACGCTGTATGACTATAAAGACTGCGAACCGATGGTATATGTTGCAGGCCTGTTCATTACACCGCATGACTGTCAATCCTGGGCCGAAGCTTTACTTTGGCGTGTAATAGCTATGATTTCGTCGACGCGATCTCAACCATACAGAGCACCTTCATGGTCGTGGGCAAGTGTTGATGGAAAAGTATACTGTATACCCCCGAGACATGGCGATCGAGCGATCGACTTTGCTGTCGATGATTACGGGGTGAAATTGAACAACACAGCGGCTCCGTATGGAATGGTGGATGATGCATTTCTCTGCATTCGAGCAAAGTGCCGCATATTGAGGGGGCCTATCGCCATGGAGATGGCGATTGCGTTGGAAAACGACCATGATCACCTGGTAAAAGAGTACGAACCATACATCTCTAACCCTAGCCTTGGGTTTATAGTGTTCTACCCAGACACTCTGGAATCCAGAAGTCTTATTGAAGAGGCTATGAGTGGCAAGGGTGCTGTGGTCCTGGTGGAAGTGTTCAAGCTACCCCCGAGCGGCTTGGTCATGTACCCAAACAATTCGCAAAATGGCTCGCAGAGTATCACATACCAGCGGATAGGATGTTTTATTTCTCAGAGTACTGATGTGAATTGGGAGTCTGAAAATATGAATTGGGGAGATATGGAAGCCGTTTTTGGGAGTGCACAAGTCCAGTCATCCAAAGTTGTGTAAATACATTTTCCTTTCGTACACTGGCTTTAGTTCATGGAGCTGATGGTTTCTTTATTCACCATATCAACATACTGTCATAATTGACTTCAGACGAAGGAGGCCAATTACCGACAACTCTTCCTCGCTTCGTCTTGGCGGCAGTCATCACAACACCTTATCTCCATGGTGTCTAAGTCCGAACAATGCAACCGGCTGACACGGGTTCCGCGGTGCCCACGCCGGACTGAGGGACCAATAGTACATTTCCAGGATATTTCCAGGCCATATAATGTCGCCTGCCTTCTTGAGAGTTCAATGGGGTCTGGGAAACATACAATAGAGAAAACTCAAAGCTTTTACAACGTCATGATGGAAAACCCGAGAGATGCACCCGGCTGACAATCTCATTGACCGAGATCCACGCCGAGATGAGGAGCAATGCGGCCCCATAGAACAACTATCGCCTGCCTTTTTCAGGCCTTGTTATGAAGGATCAATAATGCAATCGAATAATGGAAATTGTTGTTGCAAACTATAAAGCACGCTGGGTTCTTGGCCATAACCAGATAGACAGAACGCTCTACACACCCAGGCAACCTCCACCATGAAGGCGAACTCGATCGCCCAACTCGCTCTCGCCGTCCTTGCCTCTCCCGGCGAGGCCACCGCTGCATCATGTCAACAAAGCGTAACTCCCACTCAACCCCTAAACCTCACATCCCGCAAAACTGACACCCCGACGCCCACCCCAGTGCACCGAGCTCTCCTCCACCTTCGGCCCCGCGCTCTTCTACCCCGAAAACGACACCACACAGTTCTGGGACCAGAAGCAGCAACTCGCCGGCCAAATCTGCCGCGTCGAGCCCTCCACCCCGGACGACGTCGCCAAGGCGCTCAGCATCGTGATCACGAACGCCTGCCCCTTCGCGATCAAGGGCGGCGGCCACTCGCGCGAGGTCAACGACTCCAACGCCCCCGGCGGCGTGACCATCGACACCGTGCGCATGCGCAAGGTCGTGCCGGACGAGGATGACAAGACGGTCGTGACGCTCGGCGCGGGGCATAACCTCGGCAGCACCCTGACCGCGCTCTCTAGCCTGAACTTATCCTTTCCTGTCGGGAGGGTTAGTTCCATCGGGCTCGGCGGTTTTCTCCTTGGCGGCGGACAGGGTGATCTCGGCGGCAAGCTCGGCTTCGCAATGGACAATGTGCTCGAGTACGAGGTGCGCCAGACTCTGAAATACCCGATATGTTCCCACAAAGACTCTCGATAATTAACAAAAACCAGATCGTCCTCGCCAACGGCACCATCACCACCGCCTGTCCCACCACCAACCCGGACCTCTATTGGGCCCTCCGCGGCGGCGGCGGCAACAACTTCGGCATCGTCACCGCCTTCACGCTCCGTGCGGTCCCCGAGACGCCCATCTGGGCCGCCACGACGCGGTTCCCCGACAACCAGACGACCGCGGTGACCGAGGAGCTCGACAACCTTGTCACTGCGTCCGGCGTCGATCCGAACGTGAATTTCTACACCGACTACCGCATCGCGCCCGCGACGGGCGAGTTTGTGTACACGGTGCAGCAGCGGTATCTCAACGCGACGGCGTCCCCGGCGGCATATGATGGGCTGAATGCGGTGCCGTATTTGTCGAGGACGGGGAATCTGACGTCGCCTAATTTTGCGAGTGATGTTGCTTATGGCGTTCGGTATGTTTCTCTCTGGCTGATGCGTTCCACCATGAAGTGCTCGAGACTGATTTAGCTATCTCGCCGTAGACACATCTTCGTCTCTCTAAGCTGGCACTCCTCCCCAGCAATGCTCCAACGCGCCGCCTCAATCTTCAAAACCGAGGCCCTCAAAGTACAGAACGTAAGCGGCCTCACCGCCGGCATGGACTCCCAACCCATCACGCTCTCGGCGCTGCGCATCGCCCAAGAGCGCGGCGGCAACGCCTTCGGGCTATCAGGCGACAAGGCCATCCTCGGTACGCCGCCTTCCTCCCTCACTGTGCCCATCTCTAACATTGCCATACAGAGAACCTCATCACCATCGCCTGGGCCAATGCCGCCGACGACGCGGCAATGTACGCCTTCGCGGACGCCTGGCTCGCGCAGACGGAGGCCGCGTCCCGCGAGCTGGGCGTCTTCGTGCCGTACCGCTACATGAACCACGCGTTCCGCAGCAGGCAGGACGTGCTGGGGTCGTATGGCGAGGAGAACCTGGCCCGGCTGAGGACAGTGCAGCGCGCGGTTGATTCGGCGGGTGTTTTTACGAGCAAGGGGCTGTGTACGGGGTATTGGAAGCTGCTGTAGATGGACTCCGGGACGAGTCAGCATATCTTGGTCTTGAGCTGTGAGAAGAAGTTGTACGCCGTGGAACGGAGAAAAGCGGGCTCCGCAGGAGATTACCGGCTCTCGCATTGGCTACTTTCTCAAATCCGGAATTGTGTGATTCATCGCTCTACCTCGACACCAAAAGCTTCACATCACAACCCATCCCGCCCACCAACAGACTCCCCAAGATGACCCCCCTCAACCCCGCGCGCCTCCCCTTACAAACCCAACTGCACCATCTCCGCACAATCCTCTCCAAAAACACAACTCTCACCACCGTCCTCACCCGCGCCGCAACCCTCAACCTGCCAAACTGGTACCTCGCCGCCGGCGCCGTCTCCCAAACAATCTGGAACCACATGAGCGGCCTCCCGCCCGCCACCGGCATCCACGACTACGACCTCGTCTACTTCGACGACACAGACCTCTCCTGGGCGGCCGAGGACGCGGCCATCCAGCGCGGACGGGCGCTGTTCGCCGACATCCCCGCCGAAGTCGAGATCCGCAACCAGGCGCGGGTGCATCTGTGGTACGAGGCCAAGTTCGGGGCGCCGTGTCCACGGCACGAGAGCGTAGAGGCGGGGATCGACAGCTGGATTGCGACGAGCGCGATGATTGGGGTGCGGGTGGAGGCGGATGGGGAGTGGAGGGTGTATGCGCCGCGGGGGCTGTCTGATTTCTTTAACATGGTCGTGAGGCCGAATCCGCAGATTGGGGTAAGGGAGAAGTATGAGGAGAAGGCGAGGCGGTGGTTGGGTATTTGGAAAGGGTTGACGGTTATGCCATGGGTTGAGAAGGAAGAGCCCCTGAAGCTGGTCTCATGAGAATGATGTACATCTTCTTGATCAAGTCTACAAACCACACTCAGTCTCTCTTATCAAGCTTCATCTCCCCCAGCATCCTTTCCACCGCCTCCCGCCCCTTAACCGCATACCCCTCCAAATCATCCCCATACTTCTCCCCAAACTTCCCGTCAAACACCTCAACCGACAACCACTCCTCGAACCCCGTCCTCATCACCGCCTCCAGAAACGGCACGATCGGGAGATACCCCCCATCATACGGCAACGGCCTATAATCATGGCTCCACCTCCCCCGTGGCCTCAGCCCCTCCTCGCCCACCACCCTCGCCTCCAGCGGCGGGCTGACCTTATACGCATCGCTAATCTGCAAAAAGAAAATCTTCTCCTTAGGCACCGCGGCGCTCAACTCCGCCAAGCTCTTCTCCCAGCCCTCCTCCGCGCCGGCAGCCTCCACCCGCCCCGACTCCGTCGTCGGATCCCCCCACTCCCCGCCCGCAGATTGGAAGGTGTCCAGACACAGCCCGACGTTCGCCCTATCCACGCGCCTCACGACCTCCCATACGTCGCGCCACCCCGGGGAGCGAGTCGCCCAGCACCAGTTCTCGTACGCGACCTTGAACCCCCTCGTCCCCAACAAATCCGCCAACTCGCGCAAGTCATCCACCACATCCTCCTCCTTCGCGTCCTTGATAGCGGGCGAGTCCGACGATCCAACCTGTAGCATATCCGTCCCCACAGCGCTCATGATCTCCATCCAGCCCCCGGCGCGCTTGAACGCCTCCTCACGTTCTTTGCTCCCGCGCGGCCAGCCTTCGAAGTTGGCGAACGGCTGGAGGACCATGATTTGCAGGTTGAGCTGCGCGCAGAGCGTGCGGACGGCGGTGCCGGCTTCGCAGAGGGCGGGGTAGTCGTCGTCGGCGATTTGTTTGTTCAGATGCGTTTGGGCGAAGGATTGGAGGTCCGGGAAGGAGAGCTCGATGCCGGAGAAGCCGGCGGCGGCGATGGCGTGGAGCTTTTGAGGGAGGGTGTGGTTGGAGGTGCCGATGGAGCAGGAGGCGAAGGAGAGAGGGTTGGGGTAGCGGGACGTCGTGTTTGCCATTTTGTCGGATTTGGTACGGTTGTCTCTTTTGCGAAGGATGGTTGAGAACTGACATTGTTAGAGGGTTGGGTTAATGGTTGAAGTTGTGGTTGAAGTAACCCGAGATATGCGCCTCTTCTGTTCGATGATGTCAGCGCTGTGATGTCAAAGACATGTCACTCTGCGCCGCCAAAACGCAAAACACCCCACACTGGACGGCCACGATATTTTGTGTGATCGATATGAAATGTACAGTCTATTGATGCCCCAAATTTTAATCTAAACCGTTTTAACCCCAAGTAAAATGAAGAAACTCGCCTGCTATTAATACAATCTTACCGCTTCGCCCAAAGCAACAGACTTAATCCACCTTGGGCTGCTTGTTGTTGACTTCCGCCCGCTTCACCGCCTGGATGAGCCCGATGCCAGCAACCGCGCTCGCGCCGTCGTCGGCCTGGGTGCTCCAGAAGGACTCGTGGCCCATGACGCGAATCGACTTGCGGCGCTCGCGCTCGGCGACGGAGAGCATCAGCCCGGACTGCCTGTTGGCCTCGAGCTCCTCGAGGTGCTTGACGCGCGTGGCGTAGCGCTGCTGGCGCTGCTTGCGGATCTGCTCGGAGCCGATGCGCTGCAGTACGAACTTGACGACGGCGCGCAGGCCGAGGAAGATGTGCTCGCTGATGAAGATGGTGATGGGCAGCGCCCACCACGCGCCGCGACCGATGGTGTTGGCGCCGAAAAGGTGCACAATGGCGCCGGTGGAGATGGAGCCGGCCCAGGTGAGGACGTCGAGCGAGTTGATCCACGGCCCGATGCCATCGGTGCGGACGGGCGCGGGGCGCTGGAACTCGTTGCAGATCTTGAGGAAGTCGGTGCGCAGCTCAATGACGTTGTTGACGAGGAAGCCGATTGGGATGAGGGGCCAGACGGGGGAGAAGAGGGAGAGGTAGCCGAACTGTAGGACGATTTCGGCGATGTCGTCCTGGACGTTGTACTTGTCGAGGGTGGCCTGGTTGCGGGCGGTGCGGAGGAAGCGGGCCTCGTCCGGGTCGTCCTTGACGATGGAGAGGAGCATGGCGTCCTTGGAGTGGGCGCGCTTGTAGTCGCGGTAGAGGCCCTGGGCCTTGTGCTTGAGAACGGGCATGACGTTCTCGTCGAAGAAGCCCGAGATCTGGCCGGTGACGACAAGTGCGATGACCTCGTCGCGAAGGCGGTCCGAGTCGACGTGGAAGGTGAGGTCGTCGTCCATGTACTTTTGACCGATGGCGCCGAGGAAGGACTTGGTCATGCCCTCGAGCCACGGGACGACGTCGTCGCCAAAGGGGACGTAGATGAAGGCGGTGATGAGAATGGGGAGGTAGTTGGTGATGATGTTGAGGACAAAGATCTTTTGCGTCAAGGACATCTCGTGGTAGTCGGCGGTGCGGTGGTTCTCGTACTTTGTGAGAATGGTGGCGACTTCCTCAAGACCGCTGCTGATGTACGGCAACGCGATGGCGAGCAAGCAGGTGGGGACATATTCCTAGTGATGTGTGAGCTCAGGTCTGTGATTAATCGACGGAGGCAGCTTACCATCAGGTTCTTGTACGGCCCATCGTATCCTTCTGAAATGAGGACCTCGATGGCGAAGACGAGAATGATGATGGTGCCGAGGGCGACGGCAGAGAACAGGATGAAGGGAATCTGGAGGAGTTGGCGAGTCACCTGCTTCCACTTGGGGAAGTAGTGCTTCTGTTGGCCGGTCTCGTCGATGATGATCTTCTCATACTTGAATTGTGGACGGTTGACCTTGACCTTGCCGATGCCTTGGACGTTCCAGCGGATGCCGAGGTCGACCTCCTGGATCTTCCAGTACTCGAGGAAGACTGTGCACCAAACACACGTCGCGATGGCGTAGGTCAGGGAGTACTTGTCGAGATACATCCACGCAATAACACCGGTGATGGCGGGGAATGAAAGGAAAACGAGGTAGGTCTGAATGAACGCAAAATAAAAGGCGACCTGGAGGGGGTTAGTTGACAACTGACATGGCAGAGAGTTGGGCGTACCTTTGATCCCCAGAGGTCGCGAATGGAGTCAAGGTCGTCCATGGTCAGGAACAGACGCTTGCTGAGATGCTTCAGCAAGGACTCGTTGGTCTCCTCATTGTGAAGAGGAAAAATGGACTTGACATTCTTCCATTGTCCCGTCTCAGGGGTGATGCCAGCACCGCCAAGAGACTTGGGCCAATTGACGAGATGGTAGACCGAGAGGATGTCCTCGGCCTCATACGCGCCGTCGACGACGGTGGTGTTGTTGCCGCCGGGGTGGTCGGGGACGATGCCGTAAAGCCAGTCCTTCACTCTGCAAACAAGCGTCAGCTGGCCGGGCGGGTTCCTCTGGCAGAATGTGGAAGGCGGTCTGACCTCGACTTGTAGACCGTGTTACCAAGAAGCTCACGGGGGGCCTTGACGAAGATGAGAAGCGTCTGCTCATAGCCAGCTCTCACCTCGGTCTGCAGACCGGCATGCTCTAGGTCGTTGAGAAGGGTGGTGAGCTCCTTGACAGCCGTCTCGGAGTCTGCAGTTCGGTCAGTCGGAGGGCCCTGTTTCGTTTCACCACAGATATCTGGGACAAAGAGACTCACCGATCTCGCTGAAGTCGTAGGCTACAACGTACTTGTCGTTGTAGCTCTGCGGCTTGCGGGGCATGCGGTGAATGGGGTCCGTCATCACCCTGGCTAGCTTATCCATGATGCCCATCTTCCCTCCACGTGAACCGCGACAGCGGCGCGGGAGAAGGCGTGATTATGTAGTGCGCGGGGCAGGCGGCAATGGGAAGAGTCGGCACGGCCGATGTGATGTGCGTGTGGTGACCAGACCCACGGATTGGGGCCGCCCTGAAAATGGCAATTAAAACAGGTCGACGTCGACGTCGGAAGAATGAACCGGAGGGGGAAAGGAAGAATGGAGCTCTGCGGCGGCGGCGGCGGGACCCCAGTTGAGGTGTGACCCAGCACGATGGCACCGTCCGAAGATCTGGAAGGGTGGTATGGTGTCACTGTCACAGTCCAGCGTGTGTGTGTGTGTGTGTGTGTGTGTGTGTGTGTGGTGGTGGAAGTGTGTGCTTGGTCACAAAGGCCGAGGCTCTGACTCCTGGGTGACGGTCAGCCAGAACAGACCAGCGGCAGCAAGGCAGAAAGAACAGATTGTTGGCGAGATTGAAACCTCAGCCGCCTGAGGGAAACAGTGCGGAAGCAGGCTGGAAAGGGAGAAGGCGGAAAAAATTACAGAATTGTGGCCCTGGCTCTCCCCTGAACTGGAACATCGGCAGCCAATGCGCGCCGCCGCGATGGTCTTTTGCCGGGGTCAGGTCGCTTGTGTGTCGCTCACCAAGAGCTGAACGCGTCAGCGGACTCCACACGCCCAGAGTTTCCGCTGCCGCAGAGCCGCGCACAAGGCTTAGTTCGCCAGAAGAAGCGTAGCCTTTCTTGGGGTCGAAATTTGAGCTGTGGCTATCCCGACGAGGCTTGTCTGCTGACCCTTCCATTGAATTGCATTGATCGAACAGAGTCGAAGGAAACCTGGGGTAAGGCGACGAGACGCGAACAAGACGCGCTGGGCCGAGACATTGTCCAGCCGGGAACGCGGCAAGCGAAAGTGTTATCGACTCGATAAGTGTCCCAACTTTGCCATCGTCACGACAAACAGCGTTAGGGCTGAGTGATCGCAATCAAGGATAGGCCACGAGATCGGGGCTGCTGCCGTGTTAGCCATGATGGGACGATTGTGATGGGACGGCCGGCACCCGAAGACACCGCTTGGCGACAATCGGTCGCGCCTATTTTTAGCGTTGAAGTGCTGACTCAGATGCGGGGCAGCGGGTGTGACATCACCCTGGCCTCAGCTTGCAGACACCGATAGCTACACCGGAGGTGGGGATCTTCACCATGCGGGTTCACCGAGACCTGGCAGTGATGGACCATTTTCATATCTATCAGTCCGTTCGGCTCCGGCTCAGAGACGATTGCGTCTACGTCACTTCCAATTCTCACTTCTATCTATGAAGAAAGTAACATCGCATTCAATGTGAATCCGCATTACTGTCCGAAGCTTGACGTTTACTGACGTTTACCTCTGCTAACCTCAATACAGGTCCCTTGCTCGACGTCCCGTGCTCAGAATCCATACCCACCATCAATCAACACAACCTGCATGGATCTCAGATGTTGCAAAGCTCAGTCTGTTCCCGAGATTTCCTTGCAGAAAGCACTCTCGACCTGGATTCCAGGCACTCCGCCAAGCGATTCCATGTCCAAACCGTCCCTCACCAACCATCGCCCATGGACACGCACAATTTCTCCCCACTGCCAAACAATCTCATCGTGCTCTTCCAGTCTCAGGCCATAACATATCTGGTCCATAGCTTCTCCTAGAGTTAATGGCGGCTCGATACAATCGCAATCCGGCAGCTTCACGTCCTCGTGGTCCTTAAAGACCGGCTTCAGAAGCGGTCTCAAGGACTTGCACTTGCCAGGCTCGCGGGGGTGACGATCCAACGAGAAATCGTACAAGGCCTTCTGCCGCACAGCTGGGACGAACAGGTAGATATCTGTGAGATGGGGGAATAGTCGACACATATTTCCGAGAATGAAGCGCCAACGCGAAACATGTTCCAGATGGGTGAGGAAGCGTTGCTGGCCTGGGTGGAACGCCGACCACGGGATTGCAAGTCGTCGAATCTGGCGGAGGACTTCTTTGTTCCCGATTTTGTTCCACTTGTCATCAATGCCGTAGAGGTGTGTTTTGAAGCGAGACAAAATGACGATGTCGTGGCGAAAATCAAACCATACTGGACCAGAAGTCATGTTGTGGGGACTGAGTAGAAGGTGTGTGAATTTTGAACGTCGCAGAGCTACCTGTCGAGAGGTGTGGCACACAGAAAGCATGGCTGGGGGAGTAGCCTCCTGTTGTGCTCCTGGAAAGACAAGAAGGCGATTGTAGCGTGCCCCTCTGTACCATGAGTGCTGATTGAATAGAGGCCCTGTTTTATCGAAATTTTCGAGCTGTCCCTCGATGACCTGCCGCTTCGGCTTTGATCGCTGATTGAAGACCGCCTCCCAGATGAGCAACTGGAGCTCAGCTGGGAGCTTGGAAAATTGGGGGAAGGTCGCCTCCATTGTGTTGTTGACAATGAGGTGACGACGAACGTTGTGGCGCGTCTGTTCTAGGTCAGTGAATGCGAGGAAAAGAGGCGAAAGGAATTTCTCACCCGATGGGCTGTTATGCAGGTGGCCGAATCTGCCCAAATTGTCCGCGTTCGCAAATGCAGAAGTGAGCCTATGAGGTGGCGAGAATGTGAGACACCGCTGACAAGGGAAAATCGAATGGCTCTTGTGATGTTGAAGATTTGACGCTCACGAAAAGGTGAGAGATTGAAGGGAAGACTGAGGTGTTCTCACAAAAGAAAGGTGAGAGGTGGAAAGGAAGACTGGGGTTTGCTGAGGTGCAGCTCAAAGAAATGGGCAAGAGCAGACTTTTCCAGTCGGGTGAAGTAAGGTAAGGCAGGTAGGTACTATCTCACACCCTCCGAGGAAGTCGTGCCTGCCTTGACCTCCTGCCTCGAACTTCTGCCTCACCAGAACAGCCTTAATTGTGGTGCTGATTGTTTTAGCTGAGGAAATCCTGAAATGCTTTATTCCGAGGCTTCGGCCAGTCTGGAAAGCTTTCCCTTATCAAATCAATTTGCGAGGGTCCGGTAATACCCATCTTCTTCACAAAGATTTACTTCTTCCAATCTAGATGCAACTTCTTCCTAAGATCTACAGTCTAGATTGATAGACTGGACGATTCATGATAATCTGGCTAGTCCTAAGACACTCCAGCTACTTGCAGGCCCTTGTGGAATCAAGTCAAACGTCCGTCTTGAACGAATAGTTGAGTGGGCTTCAGGACTTTTTAACCGTAATTGGGGATTGAATGATTAGATATGCAAGCCTGAAGTACAAATTAACCGTACATACGCAATGACCGTTCTCAAAATGCTGAAGTTGATAAGCTATGGATCTACGAAAACAAATTCTTTAATGCCGACAATGTTCAGTCATCGCTTTTTCATACTAGATGGTAATTGTGTAGCACTGTATCCAAAGTTATTGTCTCATGGAGAAAGAGTCATTAATATTTTTAGTTATCCATTTGCATTTAGAATCTGTCATGTTGAGAGACGCTTTTGGAAATGATAAATGCTGTGCCGTGCGAGCGCAATTACGCAGCGACACACGCCTATACCCGAACGATACGAATGGTTCGTATATCATAAGTGCGTAACTTACCAATCAACCAGTTTATCATTCTCGCTGCATTTATAGACTCCAAACGGCAAACTTCGACGGCAGTTGTCGGCGCCGCAAAGGGACCCGAGCAAGTGAGCGGCCGGTGGCTCCCGCCCACTCGGCGCCAATCGAACCCCGCGATAATAATACCGCTAGACCTCGCCTACAAATATTCTTTCAAACCCATCATACTGGATATAAGGTCTAGGCGCGAAGAAGATCCATCGAATGCTTCTCCGCCGTTTAGATAAGCTTTCGGACATAACGTTCGTTGTGCTCCGCGTCGACTGTGCGGCGGCATGTGCCGATGTCCGTAGCTCTTACATGGCGGGTGCCTAACTTACTCATCAGGCTAGTGATGCAGATCCAAACGAAGGCCGAACTTGTATCACTTGGTGAGTCGACGGCTTTCGTCGGCGCCGAGGGGGCCGAGCGGTTGTGATATCGTCATGCTTCCTGCCGCCGTATCTCGCGCGCTCGGCACCATGGACCTCCGTAATGTGTTTTCAATCAAGAATATTCTTAAACATTTGAAAACACGCCCTTTCTCTTAAGATTAGCCATTGGCATCGCATCCAAGTATTGTCTCACCTTATGTCGTCTTCCACGTCCATCAACCTACCTACCTTACGCATAACATCCCAATCTCCACAGCTATCACCAGCTGGCAACGACATCAGCATATCAACACATCGTGGTGCAAACTCCAACATCTACCAAAATGCCAAAAAGCACAAGAAACATCTCCAAAGAGACCATCACTGCCCTCTCCGACGCGCCAACACCACCCCCAGGCAAGATCCTCCAAATCCGCTCCGGAAAAGTCAAAACTCTCGTCGCCGAACCGTCCGGCATCTTCAAACAAGTCCAACGCGGCCGTGTCTTCGTCAACGAGCATGGTATCGGCAACGACGAGCACGTCTACCCCATCCACTGGAGCCCCGACCGCGCGCTGCACCAGTACGCCTCGGAGCACTACGCCTCCTGGCGCTGCGAGGATGCATGCCCCAAGCCGGAGCTCTTCGACTACGGCGCCTTCGGGGAGAACATCGTCGGTACGAACATGAACGAAGAGAACGTCTGCGTCGGCGATATTTACCGGATTGGCAAGGAAGTCGTGGTCGAGGTGAGCGAGCCGCGCAGCCCGTGCTATAAGCTGAACCTGCGCTTTGAATGGGGCAGGGCGCTGAAGCGCGTGAGTCGCACGGCGCGGACGGGGTGGAATATGAGAGTCAAAACGGCGGGTTACATCTGCGCCGGCGATGTGATACAGCTTGTGGAGCGGCCTCATCCGCAGTGGTCGATTCTCAACATCAAGCGCGTGATCCAGGGGAAGAATGTCGCGCTGCCTTTGGTGGCGGAGCTGTGCAATTTGGACGTGGTGACGAGCATGGTCCGCGACTTTGCGCAGAACCGCCTGCAGTCGACGCCGAAGAGGTACGAAGTCGTCGGCATCACACCCGTCACGTCGCGGGTCAAGCAGTTCATCTTCCAGCTCCGGGAGCCCTTTACGATTAACGAGCCCGCGTTTAGAGAGTTTGCGTTTGCGCAGATTGAGTTTGGGACGAACGATGAGAGGTATTCGCGTTCATACTCGATTGTGTCGGGCGACTTGAACCGGTTTTCGCTTGGTGTGGCCCACGACGATCATTCCAGGGGCGGATCGAAGTATCTTCACACGAAGCTGAAGGTCGGGAATATGATTACCATGGCCCCTGGCGGGGTTCCGAAAGCCGTGGAGGACGAGCAGAAATGCATCAAGGATGGGCTGGTTGAGAAACGACTCGTTATTATCGGGGGCATTGGCGTCACGGCATTTCTCCCCAAGATTGCCGAGTGGGAGAAGAAGGACATTGACTACGAGGTACATTACGCAACACGAAGCCGCAACGAGGCTGCTTTTCTGGAACGCTTTCCCGACGAAAAGATCACACTCTATGCCAAAACCGAAGGCAAGCGCCTGGACTTGAACACCCTGATCCCGGGTCCTGACAGAGATGGAAAGGACACCACGAGAATTTACTGCTGCGGTCCAGAAGGACTGATGAACGCCGCTCAGAGACGAGCCGAAGACCTGGGATACCCAGACCACATGCTGCACTTCGAGAGCTTCGGAGCGGACTCCGCGGGCACGAAGGGCGAGCCGTTCACCGTCGAAGTGAATGAGCTCGAGTCACGACGGAAGGAGAAGTTGGACGTACCCTCCGACAAGACGCTGTTGACGGTGTTACGGGAGGCAGGCTTCGACATGACGTTTTTCTGCGAAATGGGCGGCTGTGGTGCCTGTAAGGTGGATGTTTGCGATGGAAAGGTTGACCACAGAGGCACGGCGCTCTATCCCAAAGAGAAGAAAACCAATATGCTCAGCTGCGTGAGTCGCGGGAGTGGGCACATCAAGATAGAGCTAGATTGAGCTGAAATATGAGCTTTTCTGAATTCATGTCTTCTCCGGTGCGGTCAGGGTCAATTTCAATAATGTTTAGATCAGAAGCGGCTTAGCTTGTGGAAGAGTCACGTATTGAGTGGGACAAACCCCAGCTCTCATTCTTGGTGTTATCGCGATGAGTCAATCCTCATGCATTGAGCCGCTGCAAGGCGAGCTAGGGAGATCAGCGGCCCGTCTCACCAGCATGATCTCCCGAATCGTTATAAAAGGCCAATGAGAACGCCTGGCATCTGAGAATCGATGAACCCCAATTCAACCCCAATTAATTTCCTCCTTCTGCTTGAAGTTAATCATCCCACTCAATCACCATGAGGACCGTCGAAGAGTTCAAGATCGATCAATGGAGTACGTCAATCCCACATAATCCCATTATCTTTGAACATCTGACAGCCCGCTGACCGAACACAGATCGTAAACATGCGGTATGTGCAATTGCTCTATTTCATCTCCTGCAGGCACAGCTTCTGACTCTTCCTAGTCCGGCAGCTTGTATGGCTTGCATGGTAAGAGGCGTTCCCCTTTCAATTATTCTTTGACCCATACTTATGATTAAGGCTCGTTCACTGCCGCCCCTTCCATCAACGAGCTGAAGAAGCTTTCCACCAACCCCGAACTCGAGATCCTGAATCCCGACCTCAAGCTTAGCTATGGAAACCACGACGGCAAAGACAAGCTGCGCGACAGCATCGCCGCTCTCCACTCCTCGGGAGACAAGAAGCTGACCCGCGACAATGTCATCATCACGCCCGGCTCCATCATGGCCAACTACATGCTTCTGGAAACCATCTGCGGCCCAGGCGATCACGTCGTCTGCCAGTACCCAACTTACGGACAACTGTACCTGATTCCCAAATTGAATGGCGTCGACGTCAGTCTCTGGAAGATGGACGACAGTAACGCGTGGCTCCCGCGCATCGAGGAATTGGAGCAGTTGATCCGGCCCAACACCAAGGCCATCATCTTGAAGTACGGTCCCCCAACTCTGGGGCAGTCCTCACCTTCGTGTGCACCTCGATCTAACCTGACTGTTAGTAATCCAAATAACCCGACCGGCGCCGTCCTCAAAAAAGAAACCCTCCTGCGCGTCATCGAAATCGCAAAGAAGACCGACATCACCGTCTTCAGCGACGAAGTCTTCTCCCCGCTATTCTTCACCGACGCGAAGCCCCCCTCGATCGTATCGCTCGGCTACGCCAACACCGTCGCCACCGGCTCTCTCTCCAAGGCCTTTGCCCTCCCCGGCATCCGCCTCGGCTGGATCATCACGGAGAACGCCGAGCTCGTCAAGGCCATCAACATGAAGCGCGCCTACACGACCATCGCCGTGTCGCAGATCGACGGCGGCATCGCCTCGTTTGCCCTCGACCCAGCCGTGACGCCGGCACTCATGGAGCGGAATATCCAGCTGTGCCGTGAGGGGCTGGACCTGATTGAGGGGCTGGTGAAACGGAACCCGGAGCGCGTGAAGTGGGTGAAACCCGAAGGCGCAGGCACGGCGTTCATTCAGGTTCTTGATAGGAAGGGCGTGCCGGTTGACGATGTCGACTTTTGCACGAAGCTGGCGGAGACCGAGAGCGTTTGTCTTATTCCCGGAGGATTCTGTTTTGGCGAAGGCGGGGAGGGTGACTTCAGGGGATACATGAGGATCATACTTGGAGACCCTGAGCTGCTGCGACAGGGACTCCCAGCCATGGAGCGCTTCATCCGTAGCTACCCGTAGACTGGGCCTTGATGTTGATCCAAAGACCCGTTATTAGATGTCATGGAATGACATATGAGTCACAATAGAATCCCCCGTAAAATATTCGAAAACACCGAGCATGTAAGCGACGCCCTTCGCGATGTCAATGACAGATTCTGCCGCGGGTGACCGCCCAGCCGTGGTCTCACGCCACGCCGCCCTCGTCGATGCGGGGACGACTTGGCGATCAGAGTCTCATCTTACACTCACCTCATCAAACCACTTCAATCAACTGACTCAGCATTCATGTCGGAATGGGTGCCAAAACACATGAAGACCAGACGCCTGGGGGAAATGGTACGTCGACCCGTCCGAAGTTCACCACCATGACTGCTAACAGAAAGCAGACGGCCCGATCTCGTCCAGCCCCTCTTCAACCGGCGGCGAGCCCCGCGGCGCGCACCTCTCGCGCGACGGCGACGGCAGCCTCGGGGACGGCGGCGATGATGACGACGACGACGATGAGGCGGCCGCCGTAATCGGCTCTACCGACAACGGCAAGAAGAAGCGCAAGCGAAAGCCCAAGAAGAAGAACAAGAAGAAGACTGCTACGACCGTCCAGTCGTCGCCGCCTCGCGTCCCGCTGAGTGAGCTGTTCACCGCGGGGGATTATCCCGCTGGCGAGTTCCTCGACTACGAGCATAACTTCACCACGTCTCGCACGACGGCTGAGGAGCTGCGGTATCTTGACCGGTACCACCTCGACGATCCTGCGCTGCTGAACGACTATCGCAAAGCCGCTGAAGTCCACCGGCAGGTGCGGTACTGGGTCCAGGACACCGTGAAGCCCGGACAAACGCTCACTGAGATCGCAACCGGGATTGAGGATGGCGTGAGGGCTCTTCTCGGGAACCAGGCCATCGAACCGGGAGATGGGCTGAAGGCTGGAATGGGATTCCCGACCGGCCTTTCTGTCAACTCGTGCGTGGCGCATTACACGCCTAATCCGGGCCAGCAGGACATCGTCCTCAAGCACGAAGACGTGATGAAAGTCGACTACGGAGTCCACGTCAACGGGTGGATCGTCGACAGCGCATTCACAATGTCCTTCGACCCTGTCTACGACGATCTCCTGGCCGGCGTCAAAGACGCGACGAACACCGGTATCAGAGTAAGCAACACCCGCCCACCCATACCTGCGCCGGAAAACCCACTGACAATAATAGACCGCCGGCATTGACGTCCGCATCTGCGACGTCTCGGCCGCGATCCAAGAGACCATGGAATCCTACGAAGTCACCATCGCCGGCAAGACCTACCCCATCAAGCCCGTGCGCAACATCTGCGCCCACGATATCAAGCACTACCGCATCCACGGCTCCAAGCCGATCCCCTTCATCAAGAACGACGACGAGACCAAGATGGAGGAGGGCGAGATCTTCGCCATCGAGACCTTCGGCTCGACCGGCCGCGGCAAGACGTCCGACGACGTCGGCGTGTACGGGTACGGGCTGCGCGACGACGCGCCGAAGCACGTCAACTTGCCCTTTGCGAGCGCGAACAAGCTGTACAAGATCATTCGCGAGCAGTTCGGCACGCTGGTGTTCTGTCGGCGGTACCTGGAGAGGCTTGGTGTGGAGCGGTACTTGGCTGGGCTGAACTGCCTCGTCAAGGAGGGGATTTTGGAGTCGTATCCGCCGTTGGTGGATATCAAGGGGTCGTACTCTGCGCAGTTTGAGCATACGATCCTGCTGAGGGAGGAGAGGAAGGAAGTTATTAGTCGTGGAACTGATTACTGATCGATTGTTGTCTTGCGACGACCAGGGGATGAACGGAGATTACGCGACGTGGTTTCACACACGACTTCAACCCTACCCAGGCGGCTAGATTCAACATCACCGTGCTCCTTTTCCTTCTTTCTGTTTGGCGCTGGGACATTGCAACTTCAACATTCGCTGCAGAGGTTCAACCCACCTGCTTTTACTCTCGTCCGCGACCCTTCAAGTCTAGATTTTCTACCGAAATACAGTCATTACCGAGCTTCCATCCACCTGAAGAGATAATATCATGCCTTCATCTTACACATAACCTTCAAAAGTTGAGAAAACATTCAGACGAATTTGGCTCCGACATACCGTTCATCGGGACTTGGCAAACCCGATCTACCCATTACTCTCCGTCGCAGACCCACGCAGAACCAACAGCCGAAAGCCCCAAAACAGGGCATCATAACAATTACTACCAATCTGACATGCATGAGATTTTGCGCTGCTGTTTGTTCGACTGGCATTGGCTGGCGCGGGCGTAGCAAATCGCGCTAAGCCGGCTGGGATTTACGTTCACTAATCACAAATCCCGCCGCCCTGGATCGCAGTACACCAGCAACAAGTCAGCTTCTACAGCAAATCCATCGGAAGTGAATGATGATCGAGATAGCTCGGTATCATTAATGACCAGAGCACAATGCTTTCTTACACACCTTTCCTTTGAGCGTTCGTCTGTAAGCAGAGCAGTTCGTCTCAACACCAGACCATCCTCCCAACGTCCACACCATCTATGGATCACTATTCAGACCTCTCGCGCAGATCACTAATCACACCTTTCCAACACTGCACGCTCATAGGCCGAGGGTGGCTGTTTGGATCAGGCTCAGATGTGATTACCAACTGAATCCATCTCAAAATTCAAGGGAGGACCATTCTCATTTTTAAGCTTCTCCGATGACAGGTAGCCTGGGATGCGCTCCATCGCGCAATCCGGACACACGCAAGCTCATGCCATCTGAAGTCCGAGAACTCTAATCAATAATACGGATTTCGCCCAAGTCAACCACCGATATCAACATACGGCGCTGAGCCTTTGCGTGGTTAAATCAACGTGTGTTCCCCGTTGGCTGGTGGCAGAGGAGCAGCAAGCGATGCCCTCGTATTCCCTCTACTGAATTTTATTCGTACCTAATCATTGTTATTCTTTCCTCGCCATGGCTCTTGCCAGCGACCCATCAACACAACCTCCTCCGGGACTTGAACCTCCGTCCGAGGACATCGAGAAGCAATCCGGAAACGACACAACCTCCCTCGAAGATGGCCATCAAACCCAGCAACCACTCGCCTGGGACGACCCCCGTGAGAAGCGAAATCCTCAGAACTGGAGCCATCTCGTCAAAGTCCTCCACACCATGATCCCATGCTTCCTAGCATTCGAAATGTGCGTTGCCCTCCCTTCACCCCCCTTCACCAAGCAAACCATCAACTAACACCACCCCAAAACAGCACCTTCTCAACCTCGATAACAGTCCCCGCCACCGCCCAAATAATGACCGAATTCTCCGTCTCCCGCACCCGCTCCCTCCTCCCCCTGACTCTCTACACCCTCGGCATCGCCGTCGGCCCCGTCTTCATCGCTCCCTTCTCCGAGGTCTTCGGCCGCAAGTGGATCTACTTCAGCACCTGCACCTTCCTCCTCGCCTTCCTCGGCGGCGCTTCCGCCGTGCGCTCCTTCTCCGGCCTTCTCGCCTGCCGCTTCCTCGCCGGCACCCTCGGCTCGGCCGGCATCGCCGTCGGCGCCGGCACGATCGCCGACATCTGGGGCCTCGGCGGCGGCGCGGGGGCTTCGCTGCTGTTTATTCTTGGTCCGTTCTTGGGACCCACGCTGGGCCCTCTGGCGGGCGCGTATGTGCTGCAGGACCGCGGGGGCGATTGGCGGTGGACGCAGTATGTCCTGCTCATGGTGGGCGCGCCAATTTGGGTGGCTTCATTGCTGATGAAGGAGACGTCCAAGGCGTGGATTCTGAGGAGGGAGATGGGGGAGCATCAGGATATTACGCTGTCTCGGTTGGGGACGCTTGCGAAGGGGGCGGTGATGCGTCCGACGAAGATGCTGTTCACTGAGATTATCGTGTCATCCCTCGCGATCTACTCGGCGTTTGCGTACGCGATGATCTTCAGCTACTTCGCTAGCTGTTCCTACATCCTCCAGAAGCTGTACGGTTTCAATCTGCAAGAGGTGGGCTTGAGCTTCATCAGCATCATCATCGGATACATACTTGCAACGATCATGTACGGAGTGTTCGATGCGAGGTTCAGGGGCCCGGCGCTCAAGGCGGGAACAGCGACGCCGGAGCAGAGGTTGTACGCGGCGCTTGTGGGCAGTGTTCTGCTGCCTGTCGGATTATTCTGGTAAGCCACCTTCTAGTGAGCCACGATTTGGGAATGCTGACATGGGTTTTAGGTATGCGTGGGAAGCACACGCTGGTGGGAATTGGGCTGCGTTGGTAGCAGCCGGGATCCCGTTCGGCATGGGAGCATTCTCGCTCTTCGTACGTACCCATCGAGTTTCATCAGACCTCGTTCCTAACATAATCCAGCTTTCTGTCATCACCTACATGGTCGACTTTTACGGTGCTAAGGCGGCTGCGTCAGGTAAGCATCCCAAATTTGACTTCTTGAATCACACTCGCTAATCCCCAAACAGCATTGGCCGCCAACGGCATCCTTCGCTACATTCTCGGCGCAGTATTTCCCTTGTTTACTATTCAAATGTATGAGAAGCTAGGCGTCCACTGGGCCGGCAGCGTCTTCGCCTTCCTGTCTCTGCCACTACTCCCCATTCCCTGGTTGTTGCTCAAGTACGGACCGAGCTTGAGGCAGCGAAGCAAATTTGTCACGAGCAACTCTTGAGTATGAAGAAGCATGGGTAATGATTTTGAAGGTCGCGTCCTTTCGCTGCATTTAATGGACAAGCCGCGCGATCAGGTAGCTTTAAATTTAGACATGGACGCTTACTTTTCGTCATTCAGAACATTATTGTTGTGTTTCTCCCATCCCGCCTTCAATTGAGTTGTAAGGGATACAAGCCCACTCTGCGCATCTAAATGGGATTCACGAAGCAAAGCCCGTTGGTGTCAAGTTCCGGATCCGGACAAGGTAGATGGCGAAGCCGATTGAAGGCGTTGACGGCCGAAGTCGGATGGATGCGGAGGAAAACGGCTCATCTGTTCAGTCTGGTTTGTCTCGTTATGCCATGATTACAACATTGCTAATCTGTTTGGAAAGTACGACCTGTTCTTCTGGAACCCCATCAATCCTCCGCGTCTCGTTTGTTCAACATTTGTTCATTAAAAGGACTGCCCGCTTCATCAAGCAAAGGCCAGTCACATTCCAATACTCTGGCGATAGAGCATGACCTGATAGAGGAGGCTGGTCCTCAATTTCCGAGAAACCCACCACTCACCACTCTTCCAATCCCTGACAATGCCCAGCAGTTCCAACACGCTCTGTCCTTCGCAATTCCGAATGCTCGGCTTGGCCCCTGCCATGATGAGAGTTGTCAAAATGCCAGGAGCCCAACTATCGATAAAGGGACAGTAGACGCGGTCTTTTCTGGCGTTGATTATGAGCACGAGAAGGTATCCCAGTGGCGTGTTTCCGTTCTCGTCAATGGCGTTGACATTGACACCGCCACGAATAATGTCCCCGTCTAACCACCAATCATCTCTCTCCAAGTAGGAAAAGCAGTGACGAATGAAGGCGTGAAGGAGCAGAGGGCCACCGCTACTTATCTTGGGACAGATTGCCAAGATTTCTCGAGCATCGTCCCACTGTCCACCGGTGTTGATCACCCTTTCTGCAATTAGACGATATTGAACCGCTGTATCTGGATCCAACTTTTTCTTCCCTGCCATGAGAAGCTCAAGAATGGTTTTCGACTCCTGCCTGTATCCGGTTCTGATGACGATGCTCAATGGCGTTTCCCCGTCGCTTGCGGGGATATGAGTTGCAGCCTTCATGGCTACCAGGCGTCGACAAATCTGGAGGTAGCCGTGATGCGCAGCAAAGTGAAGCAAGCTCCAGCCATCGTAACTGATTTGTTCAGAAAAGAAGTCGCAGTTGTTCAAGTTCTTGACGTGATAGAGGTCGCTTTTCATGTTCACCCAGTCCTTGTCGAGATGGACATTTGGTTCCATTTGCTCCACAACTGTACGCGCACCCAACGATATGGCGGTCGCGAGAAAGTATGGCTCTTTGAGAATGCGGCAAGTAGAGTCAATGTCCACGAGCAACCGGTACATCTTGTTGTTGAGCTCGTCATCGACATGCCAGCCTTCGAATGCCATAATCCACAACTTGGCTAAATCGTCACGCTTGTTCGCCACATCCAACACAACATGGGTCCCGCGTTCAAGCAGGCCGCGGGCAAATTGGTAGCACCCCATTTGCATTGCTTTCATGATGAGCGTTTCGCTTTCGATGCAATGGTTGACATCCACCAAACCCTCTGAAATTAAAAGGAGGACCCCGTCCGTAATCGACGGTAAGATTGTTTCATCGCCTCGGAAAAGCACACAAGGCTTTAGTAACGTTTCGGCTGCATCCACGCCGCCTTCCAAATGTCGTCCTATTTTCTTTGCGTGGTTCAGAATGATTGAGATTGTCGGTACCAAACTTGCCGACCATGCCTCCAGTTCCCCTTGAGGGCTCGGTGTTCTGGAAATCCGGCTTGCCGCGTGGGTCAACGCACTCAAACTGTCGGCATCTGGATCGTGAAGATCGCCGCCCGACTTGAGAAGGAAATCGAGAATATCCACCCGATGCAATGAAGAAGAGAAGAGAACAGCGGTGTTCTTGGTGACATTGTCGACACCAAAGTCGATAACATGACTGACAACCGCTAGGGCTGCATCGGAAGATGGAAGGCTGGCGGGAACTTTCTCCACCCAGAACGGCTGTACCCTGCAACATAGGTCGAGCACGCTGTTTGCATTAAGAGAGTGATCACTGCACCCTCTCATGGCCTCTTCCAGGTTCGTATTGGACCCAGGTTCATGGAGGAAGATGTCGGCACGGGCTCCGGCTTCGATTAAGGCGAGGGCTTCTCGGTAATGGTAATGATAGCAGGCTTCGACGAGTAGAGTGTGTCCTTCTCCCAAATCGTGTTCCAGGTCAGCCCCATGACGCAGCAGTATCTCCAGAGCGAGTTCGAAGTTTTCCAACTCCCAGAAGGCTCTCCACACCAGGGTTCCGTCGAAGACATCTGGGTGAGTCTCCTCAATGTCGTCAAGCTCACGCTCGAGGCAGAGCTCCGCAAACTCTGGGTAGGAGTGCCGCATAGCTGTGATGAACTTAGGAATTGGTCGAGTGATTCCGTCTCCCTCGAATAAGAGTCGCTCGCTGATATGGGGGCATATTTCGAGAATAAAGTAAGCTACCCCTTGGTGTCCGTGGCATAAGGCAATGTGGTAAGGTGTCCAAGCCGGATACATCACAGTCGGGTCGAAATCGTCTGTCCAGTCGGGGAAGTGGAGACAATTTTGATTCTTCGGATCCGACGCATGAACACAAAAGCCTTTTGAAGAAATGTTGAGAAGGGCTCCAGACTCAACAAGAAGAACGAGGGCTTCAAAGTTTCCTTGTCGCGCGGCGATGTGAACCGGAAACCAATAGACGGCCTTTGGCTCCTTCAAGATGTCGAGATGGTCGAGGTCGTAATCTAGCCATCTGACAACTCCGAATACTTCGGCGTCAAATCTCTTCCACAAGGCCCAATCAACACCATCTTCATCATCATCATCGTCGTCGTCATCCTCCTCCTCCTGCTGCTCGTCATCAATGTAATCCGCGATTAAGTCTTGGCACTCGCCGAAATCACCCTTGTTGAGCCAATCAGACCGAAGCTGAAATATCTCACCATCTCTTCGGTATTGCTGATCAAAACGTTGCTTGGCGGACTCGGTGTCTTGATTCCATTCCTTGTATCCATCCTGAGGGCGGTAGCGAATGACGCCGGCGTTGGCGTGAAAGTTGGACACGGATAAAATCTTCCTCATGACATTAAGATAACCAACGTCTGTGGCCCAGCAAAGAAGGTAGGGATGTCGCAAAACCCCGAGGTTGTAGAGCTTCGGTTCCGCAACTAAGTTGAAGAAGCGATCGGCAAGTGAGAGGGCCGCGAGTGCACTGATGACGGTGTCCCGGTATTTGAAATCTTCACTTGGCGAACCCTGGTCGAATAGGACATCGACGATGGCGATCTTCAACTCCGGGGGGAGTCGACCGAGGTTTGCCATCTTGGCGTCGTCAGTGGGTTCTCGGTTGGTGTCGATGGGCTGTCGGTGGTGTTGTGGAAGAGGTTGTGGATTTTTCGTGGGTGGCTTTGGTAAAGGTGAGGCAGGCAGTCGCAAAGTTGAGTGATGCTGCCTTCCATTCTGGAAAGAGCGACCTCCGGCACCAAGGCTTTGAGGAAAGCGCGACCCCTTCCATGGCTTCCATGAACGCAATTGCGAGCACCTTCCACAAGATCCCACTACACCAACCGCATCCGAGGTAGATGTTCTAAAGCTTTCTCCGAACAATGAATGTATTTGTATCTACCCTATTCCTTTGTTGCTGTCGACCACGGTCGTGCCTGATCTTCTTCCATATGCTTTGGCCATGCAGTCTTCCACTGGGTCTGCCTCATTGTCTTTTGGGTACAATTTGCAATCCCTTTCTCGCCCTCGAACAGTCTCTTGTCCGACTCGCAAATTTGGATGCGGTATCTTGTTTCTTCGCTTCACGATGATGAAGTGCGGCGAAATCAAGATGGAAAGCCCATCCGATGAAGCCCCTTTCCTTGCTAGGTTTACGTAAGACACGGCATGACGTCGATGGCAGCAGTCTGCCACACCCAGCATCAAGTCTTTCCTACTTCAGCCACTCACTGCTTGTCCCTTCGCTGGCATCAGTACGAGACAACACCCATGTCAGTATTCTGACGCGTAAGTTACCTTCCCTTCCCCTTGAGTCCATATTATTTGAGCGTCTTGTCAGTAACCATCACCTCCAGAGCATCATACAACAGCAGCCTGCTCTGTGCCACCACGGATCTTCACCAAGACGCCGGTCCCCGAAAGTGCTTGCCACGCAACGCCCGCCAGTATCACCAAACTTCGCGTCGCCGAACCAAAAGCATGAGTCGTCAGCATCAAAGCCGCATCGGGGGTGCCACCGTCCGCGCGGCGGAGATATCGGTGCCGAAACCAGCCTCCAACCCCGCCCCAACCGGGATCCAACCGCCCCCAACTCCGCGCCGTTATTCCTCGCAGATCGTCCCCGCATCGCCGCCACGCCACTGATGCACCCCAGATTGAAGCAGGCAAGGGTGCTTCTGCAGGAAGGGCCCCCATCGACCGCCACCAACAACACCATTCAGCCTCTCGCCTCGCCATTCCCGCATCTCATGGCAAGGACCTGTCATCTAATCGACTCAGCGCCGTCAATGCGAACCAGAGATTCTGTCATCGTATTCTCCTCCTCGCATTCGCTCTCCCGCTCGAACACACCCTCAGGACGCACACAGTCTGATGTCACCGGAGCCCAACGGCACCCCGAAATCCGCAAACCAACCACTCCTTGAAGGAACACAAACACAAACCCCTTCATGTCGCGTCCCGTTGTCGTTAGGGGATACGCGCGAAAACAATGAAACAACCCCGTCCCACCGTCCCAAATGCCAGCTACGCTCAGGCCCCTCGCGGCCTTGGAGCAGCACACCCGCCTTGCCCCAACAGAGCTTCCCCCAATACGGCGTAAAGGACGGGAGAGACTGCCGCCCCCCGTCATCATGGGGCCAACAGAGAGTAACGTCAGCGCCCAGAGATCGGACGGGAGCACCCGCGCCATCGATTGGCTGCGCCCTGCACCGTTAATCCCGGCGCGGCATCGGCTCCGGTGATGAAGAGTGGCGCCTGTTGCCTCGGCGGGCATGCACCCGGAAACAAGTTGTGCGCCTGCATAACTGGGGCATATATCATGGCCAGCACCCTCTCGCCAAGATGGTGTATTGATCTTGGAATATCGTTCAGACGCCATCAGGCATCTAGAATCACAGGTATTTCGACAGACACAGTCAAAATGATCATCCCAAGCGATATCTCGAGCCTCAACAACGTACGCCTGGCAGTGGCTCTGCCACTTGCCCTGGTGGCTCTTGTAAGTCTGCCATTGCATTCAAGCTCGCCCTCTCTAGAGGTATCGATACTGACAACACCACCAGGGCTTCCTACGCGCGATATACAGAGCCATCTACAACATCTACTTCCACCCCCTCTCCTCCTTCCCAGGCCCCAAGCTCAATGCAGTAACGCGCCTGCCCTTCACTCGCATGCTCACCGCCGGCCATGCACACAAGACTCTCTTCGACCTGCACCAGAAATACGGCCCCATCGTGCGCCTCGCCCCAGACACGATCGACTTCGCCGACCCGCGTGCCTTCAAAGATCTCATGGGTCACTCCAAGGGCGGCGGCTCCGGTGGTGAGAATTACAAGGACCCCGTCAACGCCCGCTACAAGCCCCACAGCATCATCAACTCCAACCGTGAGGACCACGCTCGCATCCGCCGCGTCCTAGCGCACGGCTTTTCCGCGCAGAGCATGGTCGCGCAGGAGCCCCTGATCCAGAAGCAGGTCGACCTGCTGATCCAGCGCCTACACGAGAACTGCGAGGGCGGCAACAAGGCACTGAATATGGTGTCATGGTACAATTGGACGACGTTTGATATTATTGGCGACCTGGCCTTTGGGGAGCCGTTCGGATGCCTCGAGAGCTCCGAGTACCACCCCTGGGTGTCTGTCATTTTCGACAACATCCACGCCGGGGTGTACAGGAACCAGTTACAGCGGTACGCGCTGACGAGGCCGTTTGCGAAGTGGTTGATGCCTAAGGACTTGAAGGAGAAGCAACGCATGCATAACAAGCTGAGCCAGGAGAAGGTCGAGAGGCGGATGGCGTTGGGCGAGTCAAGACCCGACTTCGTGCAGTCCATGATGATGAAGGAAGGCCCTCTGGTAAGTTTAGCTGCCCTTGTGGCCAGAACTGATGTGACTGACGTGCGCTTGCAGGCAATGTCCAAGCCCGAGATTGAGCAGACCGCCGACACCCTCATCATCGCCGGCTCCGAGACAACGGCATCAGTGCTCTCCGGCGTCACATACTTCTTGACGATGTACTCCGAAGCTATGGCCAAGCTCGCCGAAGAAGTCCGAACATCCTTCAATTCCGAGCAGGAAATCGACATTCTGAGCGTCCAGCGCCTCAAATACATGCTCGCCGTTCTCGACGAGAGCATGCGTGTCTACCCCGTCGTGCCGTTCGGTCTTACCCGAGTCGTCAAGCCTGGTGGCGACTACATATGCGAGACCTACGTACCCGGAGGCGTAAGTTTGAAGGGATCATTTCCACAGTGACAGAAGCTGACAGATTCTATAGACGAGAGTCATGGTCTCCCAATGGTCCATCTACCGTAACGAAAAGTACTTTGCCCAACCGACCACCTTCATCCCCGAACGCTGGCTCGGCGACCCCCGCTTCGAGAACGATGATCGAAGCGCGCTTCAGCCCTTCTCATTCGGACCTCGCAACTGTATCGGAAGAAAGTCAGTACTCCCCCATCTCTCCTGCCGTAGCATATTTCTGACAACTAATTCCCAGCCTGGCCTACTCCGAAATGCGCGTCATCCTCGCTAGAGTCATCTGGAATTTCGACCTTAAGGTAGCAGAGGACAGCACCAACTGGACGGAGCAGAAGCTCTACGGATTGTGGAAGAAGGGACCTTTGAACGTCCATCTGACACCAAGGAAGATGGAGTAAAACGCTGGTCATTGGATAAAAGCATCCTTGCTGCGTCGCCTTTGGTGCAAAGATGCAGGACGGAGAATGGGACAGTTGCATCACACGGTTCACGGGATCCATAATTATTGTTATTCGAAGGCATTTCATACATTGCTCTTTGTAATCAGATCTCATTCTTCTACTAAAGAAAGAGAGGTGTCTTGGAGTCTTGTTGTGATGGAAGTTGTGTGTCATTCGTAACATCTGTGGTACCGGACCTAAGGCAATATCTGGCATCTTACGTATGGACTCAACCACTGGGAGGGCATCGGCATTCTCACGGGACGTCCATGTGAATTTCCAGACCGAGGAAAATTTGAAGGCATTATTTTACTGAAGCCCTAAATCAGGAGCTTGATAGGACTTTACCCCCCCTCAACCCGTCAACAACAAAGCATCCACCCTGCTTGCTCCTAGCTTTCCCAAGTCCACCATGAAATGTCCTTTCATCTTCTCTCTTCCAGCCCCACTGCGCCAGAGGTCCTCTGCCACGGTTTCTTTCATCCCAAAAAAGCCCATATTCTCCTTCAAGTGTCTGCCCATTGTCGCAAAGACCTGCAGCAGCCCCTAAGAAACCAGGTTCCATGTGTCGAGAACCTTCCACAGTCCATCCAGCAAGAGAAAGAAACGGCCCCAAACCACAACAAAAATTTCAGCCTATTCTCCTTCCAGTGCCAAGGACCTGTCCTGCTAGGTCTAAGTTCCATCAGACTTCACAACCGAGAGAGCTAGTAGCGAAAGTGTTCTCGCCAAGCCGGTTCAAGTTGATGTTCATCTGTGCCCAGTACTGCCACAGTCTGAACGCACGCGCTTGGGCTGCGGCATCGATGAACTTCGGAGAGCCATTAGAGCCCTTGTCGAACATGACGAGCACGGGCCCCCAGGCGCACAGCAATGTGCCCCATTGAAGCAACCTGCCACCCGCACCAAGATGATGCTAGAATATTCTCCTTCCAGTGTTGTCCCTGCTGATGGCTCAGCCCACCAGATTTGACAATCGAATGAGCTCCCCTCTTTTTTTGTAGCTTGAGAGGTTGCTTCATCAAAAGCCATGCGTAGCGACGCTGCGGACGAATAGAAGGGAGCCCATGAAACAAGCAACCATCTGGGCGGCCTACCCGGTTGGGGCAGGTCCATGTCCATGGAGCTGGTGAACGAAGAGGACGGACGGACAAACCCCACTGCGATGGCCACCAGGCTCCCACCCCGAATGGCGTCCTGCTGATGGTGGGGACATGGCGGCACATCTCGGTGCCGATACCTGTAGTAGAGTTAGCAGGCAAAGCCGTGGAGATGAAAAGTAGATGAAAACATACCGGTGAAGCCGCTTCCGCCAGTAGGGATCGGCTTGTGAATACTACCAAGAATGATGGCGTTGCCCTTTCAATACAAATACTGCAACAGAGCAAGCAAATACTTCTGTTGTTTCATTGAAACCACACCCGAGTGGCCCTTGACATCGTAGGTGTAAGAAACACAGTTCGAGAGACGGCCTGTGGGCGGGACCGGCCCCGTCGATCAGGCGAAAGCCAGATCATTGTGTCGAAAGACACTGCAAATCGACTTGTAGTGGGTTGCGAAGATGTTACTCGCACCAAAGATTCTTCCAGCTGATCTCGGAAACATCATCCTCCGCGTCGTCAGCGGTTGCAGCGGGCAGCGAGACAATCGAACGTCCTGCGAAAGGGTAGCGAGTATCCCGCATCAGGGCCATCGTTCGATGGGGGAGGTGGCAGACGCAGCCGCCACCGAGAATCGATCGTACGGGGTAGCGGTGTCTTGGGTGTTCGAAAGTCTCTGTTCAATGTTAGCGTTTGTTTCGGTTTCTGCTGGGTGCGTGTCCTACCGTGATGAAATTGAGAAGGTCCCCAGTTGAGCACTTGGAGACTTGGGAACACGCGAACTGCGTGCTCCGGAAGGTCGGAGCTCCTGGCGCCGGAGCCCACCCAGACGAACTTGGTGGCTGATCTCCGACGCCTCGGAGAAAGTGAAGCCTTGGGTGTTCGAAAGTCTCTGTTCAACGTCAGCATCGCGAAGATCCCTGTGGGTTTTGTGTCGTACCATTGAGAAATAGGAAAGTGAACAAGTAGTCGGCCTCGAGCCCCAGACGTAGTTGAAGGCCTCGAGGCCCGGTCGAAAGGCGTGGGTGTGCGAAAGTCTCTGTTGGAAGTCAGCACCTGTGCGAAGGTTTCCGCGGAGTGTATGCCCTACCGTCGGGAAACAGCGAATCCGAGAACGCTGAACGTCCAGACGAACTGGACGGGCTCCGAGGCAATATCGAAGCCGGCAGCCTGGGTCTCACCATTGTTGATAGCCTGCCACTCAGCCGTCAACAATCAGTGCAGACTCCAGACAGCTTCCTGCTGTTATGATAGCGCCCGTGGCATGAAAACCCACCATGAATCTTGGAGCAAAAACCTGTTAACGATGGACGCGGCACTTGATGCATGGTGCGGTACAGCTTTAGAGCCACGTGCTGCATCATCGGAAGTCTGTGAACAAAGCCCAGAAATGGAAGCTGATGGTGGAGGCTGGGTGGCGCTTGGAGATAAGAAGGCTGTTGAAGATGAACGCGGCACTTGGTGCATGGTCTTGTAGAGCTGTAGCTCCACGTGCTGCACGACTGGGAGTCTGTGAACAAATCCCAGAAATGGGTGCGGACGACCGGGTTTCGGACTGAGACCGAAGGTAACGATGGCCTCGACATCTGAATTTCTGCCGCCAACCACCCAGCGGAGTTGACCTCGCCATTGTCGTCAATGTCGCGTGAGATCTGCTGCTCTGCGGTGAGAGTCAAGTGTCGAAGTTGCTCCAATGGCGAGAATCTGGAGATGAGCTCCTGGTCAATAAATGGGCAGATTGAAAGGGCCCGCCGTCCTCACTGGTGATGGTGACGCGAACTGCCGTCGCAACCACTGCGACGAGGGTGGCATGCGGGTTGTCAGAACGGCTTCGGAGAAGAGGCACCATCTTCTCCAGAATGTAGGGCATTCCAAGCTGGCCGTAGCCCTCATTGGCAATGTGGGTGGCCTGTGAGAGCGATCCGACCAAACTGTTCCATGCTCAAAAAGCTTTTGACAGGTTCATGAACGACGAGAAGGGTTGCACGAAGAAGCGAGCGCCAGAAGACCTCAGGAAACTATTCCATTCCCCTCATTCTCATCCCCTTGTCCCCCCCATTACCTGGAATGTTTGAAAACAGAACGGTAAGAGGGGGGAACTGGAAAGGGGATGATGAGGTAGTTGAGCACCAACACAGATTTCGACACTAAAAGGGTAGCCCGCGCTAAGTAAGAGAAGCTCGGTACCCTCTTAGTGTCAAAATCTGTGCTGGTTGATAGCTTTCTAGGCTGGAAGGCATGTCGGCGAGGAAGGTGTCAGGGAGGAATGACATCTGCGAGGAGCATGACTTCTTGCGCGAAGCACCCCATGAATTGGCGGCGGGGAATCCGAACAAGAACCCGTGGTAGCTCATCTTGTCGTTGCTGCGCTGTCCGTTGAAGTTGGACACTTGGTTAAGCTGTGATCGGGGTGTGGTAGAAGTTTTGTCCGTCGATTGGCTTCCCCCAATGCAAATCCATTCTTGATTCACTGCAGTTGCCAGACGAGCGTCGCTGATTGTTGAAGCTGGGAACGGCGGCCAAATGCGCAGTTTGGCCGTATGTTGGGTCCCATCGGCGAAGCTCTCTGTTGGCCAGGCGAGCGTTGCTCAGTGTCGATGTTGGACATTTTGCAGGCAACTAATTTCTGAGATTAGAGCCAAGGAAGAATCAATGTCATCCCGCGGGCGGATGCGGACGGAATGGGGTGCTTACTCAAGTGCCATTCAAATGAGGGAAAGGAAACCACCAGACCCAGACATGTCGTTGCCGTTGGAAGGCGGGATGACGTATGCCCGGGCGGACAACAACCACACCTGGGGCGGAGGGAAGGCTAAAGGCACCCCATGGACGTTGAACATGGACGCGTGCCCTGTCTGTGAAATAGGTTTGGTCAGTGATGGTTTCAGCGAAAGAGACATTCTTCCTGCAACATACAGGCCAAGTCTGAATGAGCTGGTGAACGAAGAAGACGAAAAAGCCCGTTCTGCCCTTTGTGGGCGTTCTTCTCCCGCAAATTTCGGGTGCTTTGTGTGCTGTGAAGTGGAAGGAGGGGTTAAGTTCCCGGTTGAGCGGGCTGGTGCGACCCAAAATTAGACGCAGAAACAGGACCTGTTGTGGGCGTTAGACAGCGAGCAAGATAAGAGAAAAAAGGAAAAGAAAATCAGACTTCGATTCAACCCAGAAGATGATGGTGAACAGGGTCTCTGAGCTTGAAATGCTTGTCTGTCAGTGTTGGTACCTACCCGAGTTGATGGTTGGTAAAGTTGTTTGGATGTTGGAAAGTGGGTAATTTGGAACTTTGATTCGAGCCCGGAAGGTATGGTATATAGATACCATCTTACGGTCTTCCCCGTCTGTTGGAGCGGATGTTGTTGATGATGCGAAAGGCTCGCCGGGATCCTGTCTTCAGAGGGGGTTGTATTGTTGTGAAAGTTCTTGATGGGTGCGTGGTTGACGATGGGTGTTTTTTGGAGGAGTTCTGGGGATGGTAGATGTTATGGTGGGTTTTGTGCGACTTGACCTTCACGCCAGCAGCCCAGGATTCTTCTTCAAGGTAGTTAGGTAGAGATGGGAAGGCTGGTGGTGCGAGGGTCGATGTGGCCAATCTCCAAACAGCCCTCTAAGGCGGCATCTGCCTCAGTCGGATTCCAGACCATATCTTGTGTGGTCGTCAGTGCTAAGCGAGGGTAGGGTTTTTATTGTGAAGGTTGTCACCAGACGAAAATTCTTCAATCGCTCTTTCTTCAGGTGGTGTGAAATTTCTGGATCGCTGTTGCTGATCAGGGACAAAGCCGCCGACTGCAGCCGGTCTTTGTTTTTTTTCTTTGCTTTGTTACCTTACACTTCGGTTTCTTTTATGTGGAGCTGTGTGTTCCTATAACCAACTGCAACCTAACATAACCACTTTCCATGAATTAAATTTAGTCACTGAATTAGCTGGTCTTTAGAACTTTGCTTCTTATTATCAGAATTATATAAAATTGGGCTGCCCATAGCCCTAGATCACAAGGGGCACACCATCATAAAATACCAGGACCCATTCCCCATTCGACATGCGCCTGGTTTACATGCCAAGCGCGGTGGAAATCATGCCCCTGCTACCAAGAATAGCCATTGGCGTGTGGAAAGTTCTCAACCGCGACTTGGCAACTTCCATTCTTCCCTCAACATCATGGCCCCCGAGATGCTCGTGGCCACCTACGGATACTTTAAGCCAACTGCAGTTCGTCTGCAGGCCCAAGAGCGTCGCCGGCAAGCTCTGGGGGACGGCGATGAGCATCTGCCCCAGCTTCTCCAGAACTTCAGGGGACGACAGCATGGTGGGCTTCAATAGGCCCTGCGTATGACTGGCGTCCTTGATGTCCTTCTGCCTTACGCGTCTACTAGCACGTTCTCGCAGTCTGAACGGTACTGAAAAGCGAAATTGTAGTTAGAAGACCTGTCCAGCGGGCTTTCGGGGCGTTCAGAAGCCGTTTCGTCATAAAGAACAAGAGGGTCTGGTGATCCGTGATGACGTTAAAGCGCTGCGATACAGATATCAGTTGCCATATCTACCGCCCTCGCAAAGGGCTCGGGGAGGAGTCGTGTTTACGAGATAACGAAACACAATTTTTTGGATGCATTGGTGCCCCTTATTTGTAAGTCCATGCGGTTTCATGCCGGAGGTGATGATCGAAGAACCTGGTATGTCCAGTTGGTGCCACTTCAACCGGGACCAGGACCCGAGATGCCAATGTTCTCTCTACTCTGTTTTTTGTTTTCCCAAGGCCACAGTGCGAGCCTTTTAATCTGATGGATTCTCGGACCTTACACTCTAGGCTTGACGTTGCAGCAACCGCGTATGTCTTTGGGCCGGTCGGCTCTTGCAGTCGCGTGATGGGCCACCGGGGCAGTTGCGCCGCAGGTGACCCCCCAAGGAGCACTCCGTTGAAGATGACCCATTTCGCCGGTTCATCAGAACCGTTCTTCATCCAGTGCAAAGCCGTTTGGTACTTGCGGCGATTCTCCTGGGAAAGAGCTTAGGCCACCTCAAGTTATTCGATAAACAGAGCTGTCTTCGGTTGCTATACGTTTCTGGCAAGCAAATAATCAGCTGCCAGCATAGAGTGACATTATTTTCAAGGTCAAATAGCATGACGACAGATGTATGGGTCCGTGACTCCTTGTAAGATATTGCTAGGTGAGGTATCTTGCGAACAACCAAGTCCATGGCAGTACCAGTTTGCCGTAAGATACATCTGCAGAGTAATCGTCGACCTGAGCCTGCTCAGCTTGCTAGTCCGACTGGCTCTGCGGGCTCGGCTGGCCCTGCTGGGCCTTCCAGCCGTCCTGAGAGTCCTTGACGAACTTAACCATTGAAGGAGCCCGACTTCTAAGGTGCCCCCCCTCCTCCGCGAGAGCTGTTTGGGCTTTCGAGAATTTTCTCAATGCCGTCCATGGAAGGCATTGAGGCAAGGTGCTGCAGGGCCTCAGCTACTACCTTCTTGGATTCTCGCAGCAAGACGATCAAGGAATCAGTTCTCAGGACGTCATGGCCAATCAAATGGAAGGTACAACCATGGTGGGACATCTTCTACCTCTAGCAGAGTAATACCGTTGTTCTGCATGTTGTTTTGCTGATACACTCACGTAGATAGCCCACCAACTACAAAAATGATTTGCTGAGATCGAGTGCTCTGCCTCAACTAGCAGAGACGCATGCGAGATTAACGACACTCGCATACGCGCACCCAGTGGCTCGTGCCCGGGCAACGGATGCTACATCCAAACAAATCTTAAGACGTCCCAGGATGTCTACTTTGCATGGAAGTTCCACAATACTCCGGGTGGTGGCACGTGTTTTCCACTGCGACTTCCAAATCTCAGTGGTCCTGGCTCGCCGACATTGCCATCATCCTTACAGCCATCTTTCATTGCGGCTACTGTTTGCCTCTGTCAGCGCCTGCGTTCCTATCCCATGATCCTGCAGGAAACACTTGTGTCGATGCCAAAGCCTCTCTGATTGGGATTTTGTCGGCTCGACTTGATGAAGTTTGACAATGGAAGTCTGCTACCAAAGTGAAACACAAATGGCCCGGGGCAACACAGTCATGTTGTTGCGTAATGCAAGCGAGAAACGAGTAAATCTCCTGCTCCCGCGGTTATTGCCAGCTCAGCAGACTTATGATTCACTTTGATTCAGCATTGTAATAAGCCAGGACTCTTTTTGGAGACTCAGCAGTATATCATCAATCCCGCGGTTGGCTGGCTTGTTCTCCATGCTGGCTGTTATGCTGAACAGATGCGGACTGCTTCGAA